AGTCGAGGATCTCGTAGGCCGTCTTCTTGTCGCACTTGCCCATGATCGCCTCCCTGTTGCGGTGGTGTTGATGTCAGCAGCAAGAATCGACGAGGATGCTTCGACAGGGGGGGTTGTTGGCAGGTGTATACCAGGCGTTGCCGAAATTCATGGCGCCGAGGCAGAGGGGCGAGACCCTCACGCCTGCCGACGGCGACAGGATGCGGTGGTAACCGAGAGCCGTCTTCGGCGTGGCAGCTGGGGGGAAAGCCATGTTCGAAGGGTCGATTGCTGTCTGTACTCTTGCTGGTATGTACGTTGAAAGAGTGCTGTGGATGAAGGTTGACTGAGGAGGGGCTCAGCGATGGAGGCCTTTAAATACTATGACGTGCGTACACCACCATGGCCCTTGGTCTATGCTTCCGGCGGGGTTAAGAGCTTCAAATCCGTTTTGTTGCTGCATCCGCATATGTCCGGCTACGACATGACCTGGGCATCGGCCGAGGGTAAACTTCGGGAGACGTGGTTGAAGCTTTAGGATATTGCAGTCGCAAGCACGAATGTCGAAGATCGCAGCTTGTGCCGTGGACGTGGAGAGTCTGATGATTAATACAGACGGATGTTCCCTATCCAGGCCCGCAATTATCTTCCTTTCGATCCAAGCGTGTGCGAGACGTCCGTTTTGCTGCTGTTGCGACCCCTGGCTGACCCCGCATGCACTGACGATAAGGCGATGGTATAGTACTAGCATGTAACTGTGTTCAGAACGCAGTGCCAGTCTGGCGGTAAAGTGACGCCGCCATTGAGTCTAGACCAAGGGCTGCAAGAAGAGTAGCATCATAATCATCCCAGCATCAGGCATCAAGGCACCAAGGCTTCAAGGCTTCACAGCATCAACCGCTGAGCAACCACATTGTACTTCGTCTGACCACATTAAGGATTGATTTCTCTTGCTTGAATTGTTGAAGTGGGCTTGGACAGTTTCACCGGCATGAGATGAGTGAAAGCACGACAAGTTGCATTGAATATTTACACAGGAACTGAGAGCTATGTATGCACATGAGATGGCCGGCCGGGCTCATGGCTTCCCTCGGGATGCTCGATCCGTCCGCTCAAGCGTACTGGACGAGGGTGTCGAGGTAGTAGGTGTAGGCGGTGCCGCTCGGAGGCTCCATGTTGTACATGTAGTCGCCCCACCACGGGCCGGCGGCCCAGTACAGGTGGCCGACCCAGACGTCGCTGTTGTCCTTGAGGTACTGCAGGCCGTCCTTGACGGCGGCCATGCACTGGTCGTTGGCGCCGGCGGCGAACTCGCCGACCAGGCCCTTGTTGCCCGTGTCGCGCAGCCACTGGGTGGCGGCCTGCAGGCGCTCGCTGAAGATGGTGGCGCTGACGCACTCCTCGTGGGTGCCGCTGCCGTCCGAGTCGAGGTACTGGTGCATCTGGAAGACGAGCTTGGACGTGTCGTTGGTGGCCGGGTCGGTCAGGGCGCCCATGGTGTCCGAGTTGCCCGACGAGACCCAGGTCCAGGCGCCGGTCCAGCTGTTGCCCTCGGGCGTGATGTACTGCGACGTGGCGCCGGCCTCGCGGATGCCGTCGATGGCGGCCTGGTTGAGCTGCACGACGAGCGACTGGTCCATGTCGTGGAACTCGTTGTTGGTGTCGAAGACGACGAGCTCGTTGTCGGCGAACGGCGCCGCCACCTTCTTCCACCACGCCTTGAAGCCCGCCGTGTCGGTGATGATTTCGCCGTAGTAGCGCCCGTAGTTGTGCGGCTGGATCATCGCGTACGCGCCCTTGCCCGTGATGTATTCGATGTTGCTGGTCAGGTTGCCCATGTACGCCGAGTCGAGCTCGCCGGTGAGCGTGTCGGGGATCAGCCGCTCCATGGCGAAGTTCAGGCGGAACATGTTCATGCCCTTCTCAATGAACGTGTCGATCGTGTCCATGTCGTACCAGATGTAGTCCGTTCCGTAAACCCCGGGATACGAAGACTCGCCGAACTCTGCACCGCTCTCGTTGATGCCGAACCACAGGAACTTGTCTTGACGGCGTTGCTTGGACGGTGCTGCCAGAGAAAGGGCAGCCGTGGCCGTGGCCAGGCAGATTGAGAGACGCATTTTGCGGTTGAAAGAAGGAATGGAAGGAGAGGATGTCTTGCAGACGGGCTGAAGTGACTGGCGATGCAGACGGCATTAAAGGGAGACTTGAATGAATATATAGTGTCTAAGGGCGGTCGACCAAACAGCGGGTTCCTGAATTACTCGCTGCTCTCCTTTGCGTCACGGCGGAAGAACTCCGCGTCGTCTCCGTACTGTGGCAGCGGAAGCCAGGGCCGGGGTCATCAAGAAAATCTATGGCGGTATCATGGCCACGCCGCTCGGGCCGGTTCCCTCACCCTATTGTGCCGCGAAAAGCTTATAGTAGTTGCACCAAGCCGGTATGTGCCGAAAGTGTACAAGCATCGCTCTGGAAGACATGTGAGCACGGAGGCTTGGCTGTCGAGAAGACGAGTCACCATTCAGGGGCGAGCGCAGCGGCAAGCCGGGCAGAAGTTTGGCATAGATGGCCGAAACGCCGAGCGAAACAACGCCCAGCTCCAATCAGGCACGGCCAGAGGAAACAAAGACTCGAAATCGAACGGAGAAGGGCGACCGGCTTCAAATCCGGAAATAGCCGGCCTCACTAACGGCACACCGGTCCGACGACAACGGGGACAGGACCACCCACGTCCGTGTTGCTCCGGCGAGAAGAAGTGTCGATACGAAATGCGATGAAACACGCCAGTCTCACGACATCACGTGGCATGGCACGCTGAACGAGTCCCGCTGCATATGTCTACCGCAAGCGACCTTTGACGGTGGATTGTATCCCGGCTCCACAGCATTGCCAAGGCAGTAAAAGAGACAGCGCCTGGGAAGAGAACACCCGAACGAGAGTCACGTGCAAGTATAGCGATAGGGCTATAGCACTCACCTCGTTCTCGCGTTCCATCCGTTCCTTGCAACTATAACTTGTATTAAATTATTCCCTAGCCTTCCTATAACAATAGTTTACGCTAACTTTCGGACATGGCGGATGAATATATGTAGATATATCCCCACCGCTTGCATCCTGCTTTTATCCCCTTTTCTTTGCTTCCAATTACCTGAGCAGATGAGATGATCTAATGAACCTTGTTCCTATGGGCAAACTCGTCATTCTCAAGATACACATCAATCTTGGCAAAAGGAAAAAGTCAGCATTACCACGGCGAAAGGGAGAGCAACGAGACCAATCACTCACCGTATTCGTCATCTTGGACTCGACGTCCTTGCACATCAGGCAGGCGATGATGGCAACGATGCCGAACCCCATCGAGGACATGGACACCACGAAGATGCCCTTGCAGTACGCCCACTTGAGCGCCTCGGACGCCGCGGCCACCACGGCGGGCGAGAAGGACGCCGTCGCGAGCTGCGACGTGCCGACGACGGCGAGCAGCTCCGCGGACCGCGCCTGGTCGAGCCCGGCGTCCAGCGCGGCGGGCACCACGAGCTTCGGCGTCCACTTGGCGACCTCGTTGTTGAAGATGGTCTGATACACCGTCGTCGCGACTTATACAACAATCACACAGTCAGCCAGTCAGTCAGCCAGCCAGCCAGCCAGCCAGCTCCAGCCGTACGTGGCACACACATACCTGCACTCCCCGCAAACCGCAACGACCCAGACACCCCCCCACTGATCCCCAAATCCTCATGCCGCACCCCCAACTGCGACAACATGATACTCAACGGCACCGCCCACGCAAACGCCGTCTGCGACACCACCAAAAACGCACACATGACGCCCATATTCGTCGGCGTCGCCAGCCCCAACAACGCCCCAAACACCACCACCACCACCGTCGCCGCGACCAACTGCCACCGCCACCCGATCCCCACCCCATGAATCCGCGCCCCAAACGCCGCCAACCCCGCCGCCCCGCCACAAATCGCCATCCCCTGCGGCAGCGTCAGCACCGTCGCGCGGACCCAATCGGCGCCGCCACTCGTATAGAACACGGTCGTCATCGTCGGCCAGAGGATGCTGCTGGAGTAGTAGAACATGTTGGTGATGCTGAGCGCGAGCGCGGGCGCGGTGAAGTCGCGACCGCGGCCCGCGGCGAAGATGCGCGTGGGCGCGAGGGGGTGAGGGGTCTGGCCGTAGGTTTCCCAGAGGCCGAAGAGGAGGAGGAGGGCGAAGCCGCTGGTGAGGGAGGCGAGGACGTGGGGAGAGGTCGCGGGGTGGATGCCGGCCCAGACGATGCCGGTGAGGATGGGGACGGTGCTGGTGGTGAAGAGGAGGATGCCTGCGGGTGGGGAGGGGGGTTGGTTAGTGAGTGGAGGAGGGGGGGAGGGAGGAGGGCGGGAGGGAGGGAAAGAGGCAGGGGCCGGGAGGACTCACCGATGTAATCGATTTTTCTGAGGGCTTGGAGGAGGGGCAGGCCGGATGGGTGTGCGGGCGGGAAGTAGAGGAAGAAGAGGCCGAGGAAGGAGGCGAATTGGAAGATGGCGGGGGCGTAGAAGTTCCACTCCCAGTTGGCGAACTCGTAGCTGTAGCGTGCGGTGATGGGCGCGATCAGGATGGTTATGTAGACGGTGCCGTCGGCGATGATGATGCCGATGTGTCGCCATTTGTTGGGGAGGAGCTCCGGGAGGGCGAATGCTGCCATCTGCGAGGAGATTGCATGTCAGGTTCCTTGCTTCTGCCTTGGTTGTCTGTAGCCCACTGTGGAGACCATGCAGGGCACGCGGGGGCGGGATCAACGAACCTGACAGAACCCTCCGCCGAACCCAGCCAAAGCCATCCCGGCGGTGATCATGTTGGGGTTTCCCGTTTGTTTGGAAGCCCCCGCAATAAGATGACCTACGACACAGAGCTTGCAGTGCGTTAGGTACTTGCCAACGGGAACAGCACGACAAGCTTACGAGATTGCCGCCCACGAGAAACCAGCGCCGTCCCAGAAGATCCGTGTTCGCTCCTCCAATCATGAACGAGATGGTGACAGAGATGGTCCAGGCTGGGACGAACCACACGTAGGCATTGGGTTGCCCGAAGTCAGCCGACACGAGAGTTCCGACAGCCGCTGCTGTGGGGACAGGCCAGAAGCATAGACCGTACCCGAAGGACAGGAACTGAGTGATGCATCGTCAGTGATGCCCGGCTCGGGGCGGGTTGCAGTTCCTTACGCAAACAACGATCCACGTCTTAAGTGTCACCACCGGTTCCAGCTCCGAAGGTGCAGGGGTGGACTCAGGCACCGAGCCTTCGATGTCCTTTTCGGTGGGATTGGCCAGCGCTTTGCCGTCGTTCAGCGCATCCTTCGGCTCTTCCATTATGCCTGCGATCGCCATGACTGCAGGACTGGGGTCGAACTGGAAGCGGGGCGTAGAGAATAGCCAAGTGAAAGACGCGGAGACGACGAGATAAATGCGAAGAGCGACAAGCACGTGCTCGAGGTAGACTGCTCGAGGCGACCAAGAGCGGAGAACTGCAAGAAGAGAGAGCGGAGCAACGGCCGAATGAGGTAGCGTTTGAAGAGCATTTTCGGATCAGAATATGACTTTCTGGGCTGATCACGCACCACGGCTCTGCGTAGCGGCTTGTCAAGGCGGCGTCCGCCGCTGGGCAGGAGGAGAGATTCGACGAAAGATAATGGACAGGTGCTACGCCACCTACTACGTGGTCGTGGAGCGAGTCAGAACGAGACTAACCTCGCCGCACGAGGGGACCATGTTCCCTTTCTGGCATCGCGCAACCCACCTTGCGCGCTTCCCGCCTGGCCGCCCCCACATGCCACGGGCTGACCGAGGGAAAAGATTTTTGGCCGCTGTGGCACAGCAGAGTGTTGCGATCAGGGCGGTCAAGTGCCCTTTTCTTCCGCGGTGCGGTCGACATGGAACTCGGAGTACAGAGCATGCACAACGGTGGCGGCCAGACACTCAAACCAGGGCCACAGGCGATGAAGCTCACAAAACGCCACCCGTGCGATCGGGTAAAGCACGCGGGTGTCCCGCCGGCTGGAAATGACGGGTGGCCCGGCTCGCGAGGGCGGCCCGCCGCTAGGTAACCTTCATCACGCACTGCAGATCTCCTGCCTACATGAATCGCGGAGTGCGCTTTGACTCAACCCTCAACTGATGTCCATGGTTGTGTTACCGTAGCGGAAAGGACGCCAAGTTCTAGACACATGTCAGAATCAGAGAGCTTCAATCTGGATGAATCAAACGAGGTCATGTTGCAAAGGTGTTTTGCTCAAGGGTGTTGATGCACAACTACATAGACAGTCGGGTCTTACTGGAGGGCACATAAGCGCATAGCTATGCCCGGATGATTGACTCAAGTGCCCGTTTTTGTAGCGTCTTTTACTCGAATCTTCATCGACCCCTTGTAAAAGTTAATCTTTTCACATGGATCCCTCTGTTACACAAACTGCGGAGAACCCTGTGGATGATCCAGCCGCAAAGCGGGACGAGCCTAATCCGAATGAGCTTTGTGGCACCTTCCGAGAAACCTGAGGATTGCATTACGGTGTCGCGACCCACGCTGAGAAGTGTTCGCAGTTGACCCCCACTCCTTCCGCTTACTCCCTGCATACGCCTCAACCTCAACCTCAATATCCCTCTTTGGATCCGCAAGATGTAAAAACCCCAGCCTTTCAGCTTGCAATGCTCTCAGTGGAGTCTGAAACTTGACGATGAATGTGCGCCGAGGCTGACGTACTTGAGACGGCTCTCCATGTGCTTCAACGCAGAAGATTCTATCCTTTTGACTCGACAGCATCGATATGATGGCGAATGTCCAAATGACAAAATACGATGTGCACCAGGATCATTCTAGCATCGCATTTTGGAAAGCGCCACCATTCTACGATCGATGTAGGCATGGTGGCTCCAACGGATGGCTTTCTTGAGCTAATCAAAATCTCCTTGAGTCAATCTGGAAATGCCGTCAATCCCTTGACATCATGCTGTCAGCTCGCAAGTCAGCTCCGCAGCATCGCCGCATCAAAGAAGGCAATGACGAAAACATGTTGTAATCCATGTAGTGACTGTAGTAAAGGGGAAAGATCGTCGGGCCATTACTAGGTGGGTCTTCGTTAATGGGTCTTCCGATAAATCTCCCCTGGCGCCTGCCGCTGCCGGCTGCCCTCCAAAACACGCTTGCCGAGATTCCTTGACCAAAACAATGGGTGACGGTGTAGGAGTTCATCAGTCATGCTGACTACTCCATGCATGTCTGCTTTTGGAACCCAATGCTCAGCGAAGGCCTAGCTCTTGAAATACATCCCGACAAGCACGTTGCGAAGATGGAATTCCCAGCCATTTCCCCAAAAGCGCTGCTGCCAAAATGGGAGACTCCAGACCCGTACAGAAGAAAGTAGCCATCGTGACGGGCGCCACCGTACGCCTGCTCCCCGCCCCTCCAACCCATCTCGCCGCCACCACCACCGCGGTACTGACCCCAAAGCCACCAGTCCGGCATCGGCATCGACCTCGCGCGCGACCTCGTCTCGCGCAACTACAAAGTCGCCGTCGTCGGGCGGCGCGCCTCGGCCGGCGAGCAGATTGCCGCCTCGCTCAACGACGACGCCGGCGACGACGACAGGGCGCACTTCTTCGCCGCCGACGTCTCATCGTACGCCTCGCAGGCGGCCATGTTCCGGGCCGTGTGGGCGCGCTGGGGCCGCATCGACGCGCTCTGCGCCAACGCGGGCATCGTGGATCAGTCGTCGGCGTACCTGCTAGACGGCGGTGCTGCTGCTACTACCACCACTAACATCGACGACGTCCCGCCCGCGCCGGACCTCGCGTGCACCGACGCCGACTGGAAGGGGGTGGTGTACGGCACGCGGCTGGCGGTGCACTTCATGCGGCAGAACGCGGCGGCGGCGCCGGGGCCGGGGCGGGGCGGCAAGGTGGTGGTGACGGGCAGCGTGGCCGCCGTGTTCCCGCACCCGACGTACCCGGAGTACTGCGGCGCCAAGGCGGCGGTCGCGCAGTTCGTGCGCGCGGCGGCGCCCGTGTGGATGCGGCGGCATGGCGTCGCGGTCAACGTCGTGCATCCCGGCATCGTGGACACGCCGATTGTGCCGCGGGAGATGATTGAGGCGGTGTCGGCGGAATGGTGAGTGCGTTTGAGGTCCTTTTCCCGTCGACGCTGCTGCTTTTTTTTTTTTTTTGGAATGATGTATTTGCCTACCCTCTTAGGTACCTACGGGATGACGGGAGCTGATTCGGTTTTTTGTGTCCAGCCTCACTCCGGTCGAGACGGTGCTGAGGGCGTACAGGTTGTTCCTGGACGACGAGACGGGAATGACGGGCAAGAATGTGGAAGCGTCGGGCGATAAGCTGCATTTCTACGAGTTGCCGGACATGGGGAATGGCGAAGTGACGAAGCGCTCAGTCACCGTGTGGGAGCCGCTCTTTGCCATGATGCATCATGAGAAGTCTGGGTTACCTGATGCAATCAATTGAGTAGCCTCGTCCATGTGGGTACCTGGTACTGTAGGAATGTACATTTTTGCATCCAGCTGGAACGTGCGACTCGACTCCGGTGGGCGTGACGTCTGCAGGAAGAATCGACCCAGGTACCCCGCCATCCTACCTACCCCGCACCGCTCTTCCCCTTCACCTCTTGTCCACCCCACCCTGCACAACCATGTCGCGCCCCGAATTCGGCAGAACCGCATCCACCAACCTCTCCGGCGGCTCCGGCCTGCGCCAGCTCGATGGCAAGCTGGCCATTGTCACCGGTGCCTCGCGGGGTAGAACACACTGCCCAGCTCCCCTCTACCTCGCACCATCGCTAACCAGCCGCAGGCATCGGCGCCGCCATCTGCGCCAACCTCGCCAGCAAAGGCGCCTCGCTCGTCATGAACTACACGTCGGACAAGTCGGCCGAGCCGACGCAAGAGCTAGCCGCCTCGCTCGAGCGCGCGCACGGCATCCGCGCCACGACGGTGCAAGCGGACCTGGGCAGCGAAAAGGGCGCGGCGCACATCGTCGACGTGGCCAAAAACCGCTTCTCGCACCCCAAGACGGGCAAGTTCCAGGTCGACATCGTCGTCAACAACGCCGGCGTCGCCGGCAACCAGACCGTCGCCGAGACGGACCCCAAGCACTTCGAGCGCCTCTTCAACGTCAACGTCCGCGGCCCGCTGCTGCTCGTCCAGGCCGTCGAGCCGCACCTGCCGACGGACCGCTCGGGGCGCGTCGTCAGCCTCAGCAGCGTGAGCAGCAGCCTGGGCTTCGTCGGGCAGAGCATCTACGGCGCCACAAAGGCCGCGCTGGAGGCCATGTCGCGGACGTGGGCAAGGGAGCTGGCCGAGCGCGCCACGGTCAATTGCGTCAATCCGGGGCCGGTCGCGACGGACATGTATGCCGGGAATGGCGAGGACTTCTTCAACATGATCAACCCGTGGTTGAAGAACACGCCGTTGGCCCCCGTGAGGAAGGGCATAGACCGCGATGAGTTTGTCCAGGCGGCGCCCAAGGCCGGCGGGAGGCCGGCGTATGAGGAGGAGATTGCGGGCGTCGTGGTGATGCTATGCAGTCCCGAGGCTGGGTGGAGCACTGGAAGCGTCGTCTGCGCGAACGGAGGCATGCGCTTCAGCACCTGAGCCGCCATTGATGCGTGGTGTGCCGTGTAGACTTTGGATGGTGTAAAGGGCCGCTGGCTGATGCCTAGGTTCTTGGAATGGAAAACATTTTACGAGTCGCCCTACACTTCGAGTCTTCTTTCTTCTCTCTTCCCCCTTCTCTTCTCGTTTCTCTCTAGCACCATCTTGACATCTCGAGTGTGTGGAAAGAGAGTGAGCCGAGCTGAATGCGCTGCTCGCCGCTGAGAAAGTAAGCCCGAGAGGATCAACCTCTGTCCCCGGGTTGAGCTGAAAATCGTCAGCTACATGTATTGCCTGGTGCGCCATGTCCGTATGAGGTATATCCGCGGCCTCGTTTTCGTCATGTTTCTTGTCATACCGAGTGTCTCCATCTTCGCACCCCGTATAGCTGCATGCGCTTTGCAGACTGCGAGTGGTGGTCAAGGATGCATTTTGCTGACGTGCATTGCAAGGCTGGTGCTCTGGCTCTTGCTCACGTGAAGTATTTCTTGCATGCAAGGCTTACTGCTTTCTTGACCAGTGACGAAGCGTCGAGGGCCGAGACTCAAACTGCTTACTTCGTTGGAAAGGCTCTCAACTCGCTGAGCGGCGTTGGCATCCGCTGCCTTGCATAAGTACCGTGAGCATGATTCTGCACTATCCCACACTGACCGTGGCTTGCAGCCAGAGTCTGGAAGCTTACCGTCCTGGGCGAGAATATATTTGCCTCGCCGTCGATTACCATAATCCATAGCCCCAGAACCGAATCCCCAGACACTAAAACATATTCAAGACCTGATTTAACTTTGGTTCTTACTCACCGTGGTAGATAATATCATTCTGCCAGCGCTTAGTCAATGGCGTGGTTCCTTGCTATGCGTATCATCGTGTGAGAGAGCCATCCTCTACACTTGGACGGGCTTGCTTTCTTCCTTCCTCCATATCGGGCTGCATGATTCAAGCCGTATAGTTGTTTGATCACTTTTGTTATTGAGGCTCTCCTTTTATTGGGGGTGTTTAGGCTTTTGCGACCTGGATATACACATGAGCAGATGATGAGGTTGATGGCTTGAAGACCAAGATACGCACGAAAAAGTATATTTCTTTACTCTTTCCTTTTTGAGTAGAGTGGGACTTTGCCTTTCGTGGCTGGATTGGGCGGCACACGTGGGATGTGCCGGGTGTTGGTGGCTGCCAAGTGGCGCGCGCCTCGATGAGAGCGGCTCTCGGCTTCGATCCGAAGCCTTCTTACCAAGAATAGCCTCTAGCGTTGCTGCAATGCTACTTCAGCCAAGCCACGGCCAGGGACAGCTCATCGCTGATCCCAGTTAGCCTGCTTACTGCTTCCTTCCAGCCAGGAACACCGCCCCATCCTTCACCCCGCCTCTCAGATGGTCAGCGAGCACATTTCCAAACATGGAGCTGTCTCCGCCCCAGCCATGCCCCATTCAAATGTCCGCTCGTACAATCCTACTACCCCGCCATGGTTATGCTGGTCAGCAAGGCTAGGCGAAGCTCCCGGAACGTGAAGTGATCGTCGGGCCTTTTTTCTTTTGCGCAACCCGCAGTTGACGGGTTCCAGAATACTCGCAGCGCTTAGCCCAGCACTTGTCTCGGAGTGATAGTCACGCTGCCAAAGTGCCTCGCGAGACTTTCAATCTATCTTCACTCGTGCGCGACAAAGCGGTGCAGCAAGGCAGGCTTGCATGAACACAGCAGCATTCCCCACATGACAATGCCGGATCCCCGCCGCCATCACCGTCACTAGCATGTCTCGATACGAAAGCTTGACCTACCAGGTTCTTGGTCACAATAGCCTTGTCCGTTTCGGGGCAGAGCTTAGCCAACACGGTCAGCATGCAGACTCCCGCAGCTTACCCACAGCCCTTGAGAGCAAAAGAGCCGCGATGCTCTCTCTGCAACCCTGCTTCATCTCCAGAAGTTCTCCTGATGCGCATCGGATAGCTGACACTTGCCCACTTTAGCCTCCTTTCCGGAGGATTGCCACACGACTGATGCCTACTTGGCGGCGTTGGCACAGCTGGGCAGCGTATAAATTGAGATGATCAGCCAGGCCTCAGTCAATCCAGCACAAGCCCGGCAAGAGTCTCTCGTCCACCTAACATTTCACACACAGCATTACCCTACCCACCACCACGATGAAGTCCCTCACCACCGCCCTCCTCTCCGGCCTCTCCCTCCTCTCCCTCGCCACCGCCTCCCCCCTGCAGCACCTCGGCGCGCGCGACGACCCCGTCTGCCCCGCCGACGGCTACCTGCCGGCCGACCCGGCCGCGTGGCTCTTCCCCGTCGGCATCTACCCGGTGTCGGCATCCAACCCGGACACGGCGTACGGCACCGTCTACTCGCCCAAGATCACGCCCGGCGACTTCTGCACCATCTTCAACCTGTACGTGCCCGAGTCGGCCGCGGGCAAGACGTGCACCCTCAAGTTCTTCTTCCCCGACCAGAGCCAGCTGCGCACGAGCAGCTACACGTACGAGGGGGCCGGCCACTTCACCTTCACCGGCTACGCGTTCGGCTCCGGCGCGACGGATCAGACGACGTGGAATAATCAGCCGCCGGCTGGGCCGAGTGAGTCTTACGTCTTTCCTTCTTGTCCTTCTGGGGAGTGGGGGGTTGATTGTTTCCGTTGCTCGTCGTCGGGTGATGATGTCGTGACCGATGACTGACTCTTGTTTGCTTTTTTCTTTTCTTATAGGCCCTCCCTCTCCGCCTGCAGTGCTGGCTCCCGGCAACGCCTACGTCATCAACGCCGGCGATTGCGGTGTCCAGGCCGGCCAGGGCTCGCTCGAGGTCAGCGGCATGCTGTGCAGCTCCGATACCACCTTTGAGTACTTCCAGGACTCCGACCTGTGCCCCATTGGCTTCTATGTTGTTATCAGTTAAAGGGGGGGAAAATGGCCGAGAGTTTGTTGATGGGTAAGGACTGGTTATTGTGTAATGAGTAATATGATCGTTCACGACCATTTGTGTTCGGTGCGTGCCGTGACGTAGGTACCTGTTGCTGATCTTCTCAGCCACATAGCTTTCACAAGGCAATTGGGCCAGTCTGAGGCTGTGTGCTGTGGCCAAAATGGATTGTAAGAGAACTGCGCCCTTCTTTCTCCGTAGAGGACGGCACATGTTTTCTGCATGGATACGAGTTCTCAAGCTACACGTAGCCATCCAGACAAGTGAATCCACTATCAACATGAGTATGGTGCAATATCTATGAAACAGATGTAGAAAGACTTAACTCAACTCCTTTGTAGCCTGCTTTGAAGGGAGTAATTATGAAACCAGAGACTGTAGGATTTTTGAAAACGCCGCCGATAAAACATAACAAAAACTCAAACTGATGTCAACTCATATGAAAACATTGAACGCAACGTCATATTCCTACGCCATATGTCTTTCTGCGTTCGAACCTGTACCCAAATATCTTTGCCCATGTTTTCGGCGAAGGCTATAGCCAGCACCACCTGTAATCTGTGGCTTTGAAGAAAGTGGCGCTTTTGGCGTACGAACAGTGCTGTTTGATGAATCTTGGTTCGACGAGGGTGAAAGCATGCCGTGGATCTGAGGTCCAGCTCTGGCAATTTCCTGATTGGATATCATCTGTGGTGCCAGACACTCCGGTTCTTGGTCGTGTTCTGATGAGGGGGTTTGAACATCACAGCATCCCAGATCTGTGGCAACATTCGTCTCCTTGAGCTTAAGAGCAATGTGATCATTGGAGTGCATGGTAGAAATGCTTGAATCAGCCGTCCATTCGCTCGCGTCTGAATGGTGAATAGATGAGCCGCTGTCTGAGTTTGATGACTCGCTTGGTCCGCTATCTTTTGGCTTTAGTCGGATGCTGATATCTTGATTTTCTTGACTGTAGAATCCCTGCTTATGGTTGACTTTCGGGCTGAAAATGTTGTCCAAGAGAGTGCCCGACTGGCCGAAGATTACAGCGCCTTCTTCGTAGGGCCCCAAACTGCCAGGCCCGTTGATAGTGCCCATGTGGTGTTTTCCGAGTACCTGACTGAGACGGTTGCATCCACAGTGATATGCCTGTCCAGCCTTGCACTGTCCAAATATTGAACAGCTTTGATGCCATTGTAAGCATGAAGTGCTCAAGAACCGGCGATCAAGTGGACAGCCAGCAACCTCGTACAAGTCCTTCAACATCTGCACTGTGACCGCAAGGTAGCCATGCCCTTTGGGAAGACTTTGCCAGTGACGGCATAAGTCCTGACAAGTGTTTGAGGGTCTGATGAGGTCTTCAAAACCGTTGGCGAATAATGTGAGAGCGCCGATGTCGTGAACAAGGTCGACCCAACCCCCGTTAGTTTTGGCGATGCTACCTCTTTTTAATTCGAACGGGGACCTTTGCCGTACAACGTCCTTGAATTCAAAGCCATGTAGCTCCTCTCGGAAACTGAGTTTAGGCTCGATCCCTGGAGTCGCGTCATGGGGTTCTTTGTGTGCGATGAGATAATCCAGCAGTGACCAAATGTCGAGAACGAGGTCCCTCAAACGGTAGTTCTCGTCCGCAATGATCACGGTGCTAGCGTCCCTAATGAGCGTTTCGCGAGCACTACACTCGGAAGTGTCCTTCGAGAACAGCTTGACTTGTCTCTTGTCAACACCGAAGAAGCCAGCTTGGTGCCGTGCTTGAGCAATGTGTAGTATCACATGTGATGCTGGTACAAGCCATGCTCTTCCTTCGCCGGTATCGTAAAGAAGTACTCTCAGGTCGTCGGCCATGGCAACAATCGTGTTGTACGGGCCACCTTTTCTCTCGTAATGGCATTTCCCATCTTTGGCACCGAAAGCGACATTGAGTTGCCCCACACCGAGTTGCGAAAACCCGAAGGATCCTCCAGATACGTTGAGATGCGAATGGAAGTCCTTCAAATGGGAGCCAGAGTAGTGAAGGTTGTCGTAGTTGATCGTCTCACTCCCGAGAAACAGTTTGGCCGCGCTACACCAGCCGAGGATCGTCCTGGTAGATCGAACAGCGCTCAAGTCGAGCTCGTGAATTATCAATCTGTTCGGACATTGCTGGATCCCATCTTCATAAGAAAGGAATTTGCCATCGTCGCTTCGTATGAGGTGCCATCGAACCCTATCCTGAACCCTTGCGGTGGGTACGAGCATGGTCGAGAAGCCCTTCAAGACCACACCACCTTGGAATTCCACGGCGTGTCTGACACCGGTCAATGCTGCAAGGATGTCGATTGAGATTTCCAGACCTGATTCATTGCCCCTATCTGGAATGGGAAATCCGCGAGCGATTCTGGCGCCGCTGAAAAGAGGAAACCAGCATGATGATTCGATGGATTCCAAAGGTCGTTGGGCGACGGATATGTGGAAGCTGGTAGAGCCCTGCTCAAACGACGCTTCCTGGGTTATTCCTGGCTCTGAATATAACACAGCAGCCTCGGAAAGCTCTCCCCTGAGCGCAGCGGCAAGCCATGAGATCTGTTGCACAATCTCAACAGTGAATTCGATTGTGGCATCCAGTTCGACTCGGATAGAGTTTTGTTTCTTTTTCTCGAGCCATCTAGTCTCCACTTTGATGCAGATGGATCCTCCGTCTTCCAATGAAAGATGTGCGATTGTTTTTTGAAGCGATGCTTCAAGCAGAGGCAGAAGTATATCGCAGTTGGATGGCCAGACAGACCGAAGATAATCACCGCATGTGGTTGCGTGAGCGTAGAGGCCTGAGCCACTCAGAACAAGTATATTTCCCAATGATGGCCTTGAATCACCGTACTGAGTTTCCAGAAACTCAATGGGATCCCATTCGATCGAGGACGATGTGCGACAAAGTCGGTCCACAGGGTGGTGTTCGCATTGAGTGTCCACTGTCGTTCCGTTGTAAGAACACTCGGGACAAGGCTCGGCCGCAATGACACTGCTTGTAATCACCTCTTTGATGTGCTGCATCTGGTGTTGATCGTCACAGTACAAGGTACGGCGCATATCAGTCATCAACTTCTCGAACGGTGGCCCAGCGAGTAGGAATTCTATGGCTGCGCTGATGTTCGAGATTGCTTCCTCTTCGTCGTCATCATCTTTTTCATCAACAAACAAGTTGAACTTCTCAGGCAAAGAGAGCTGGGTAACCGACTCTCGGATGCGTGATAGCATTGATGCATCGGGGCTTCTTGGGGACAGCGCATTTTCGAGCAAATAGAGCGCGATCTTGGGCCGATATCTCCGAACGATACGAATTGCTCTTTTTTCCATGCTGGAGTTGGATGCGGCGAGAGTCCTTTCATTGTCACATTAGCAAGGTATATTGCGTTGTTGGGATGCTCATGCCGCTGCTCACTTCATGGAACCACTATGCTCATCCAATCCCGAAACAAAGTCTTCGAGGTCAATTGCGTAATTTTTCAGAAGACGGGTCAAGTGACGCTCTATGGCAGCCGTAGTTTGACTTGCCAAAGCACACGGTGCCCATGCACGCACTCCGGCTTTCTCGATCAGGTTATCCCCTAAGTCTGCAATGAGATCATGCAAGAAATCCGTAGGGATGCCGAGAGAGCTGCCGGTCGACCTGTCTGAGCAGACAGATTCCGTGTCTGTACCTTTCCCAGTATGATATCCAGAATCTGAATGGGCTTGCCCTCGATCATGTGCTTCGGCCTTTTTCACGCCTGGTTTACCCTGGGTTTGGTTGTCTTGTATGGGTGGTGGAGATGTCTCATCTGGAAGCTCTTGATCTGACGCTTTTTGCGAAGAGTTTGACCTATCTGGTACCGCTGGCTGTTGCCTCTCTGACGGGCTTCGTCTGTGATTTTCGATTGCATTGTCCACACTTGGCCGGCGAGGACTTCTGCTTCGTTCGGTTCGTTCTCGGTCATGTACCACTTCCTCATCGGGTTGTGAGGTGGAATATGGTTCCGGGCGGGGATAAGGCCATGGCTCGTTCGGATATCCCGTTGAGCTATGGCCTTGCTGAGGTGGATATGTTGCTTCTTCCGGAGTCTCTTGAGGTGAATATGCGAGCGCGGGGTTCAGGGAAACCGTTGAAGCAAGACTCAGTGTGTCTCGCTGCAGGACGCTTAGGAAATTTTCGCGTAAATAGTCAGTCCAGCCCGGAGCGACAACTCCATAGTCAAGAGACTTGACGTTATGCTCTACCGTATATGGCTTTGCATAGTTGAGCCGAGACATGACGTCCATTCTGGCTTGGGTGGGGTCGGTCGCCACAATAGGAATGCTCTGAAGCATTTCTCCATGCGGATCTTCCCATTCCGGAATCTCGGGAGGTCGTGACCCAGTGTAGACTACAGAATGCTCCGTCTTATCCACACCCGGCTTGGCAACACCCTGGCGGTTGTACGTCTGTATTGACCTGCGTAGTTGAGTGAGTAAACCTCTAAAGCTGTGTTTCTCAACACACTTACAGGCATGTACAGCAATCCCTCCCTTCTCGAATCACGATAAACCATCGTATTTTGTTGTGAATTGGTTCATTGAAAGCCCCAGTGACAAACGCCGCTCCTGCATTTGCATTGCTCGCAGGCTCAGGCCACAAGACTTTGAATACCTTCCCAACTTTGTAAAAGTCCCGACCCGGGAAATGTTTGACGTAGCCTGTGCGTGATGAGCTACACTCCTTCGCGTGCTTCCGAATTTGTACTTACGAGGATCGAGACGCTCCGCCTCTCCCGCTCCCCCTCTGACTCGCCTATGAGCTCGCATTCCGCTTCGCAGTGCCGGTGGTTCCGTAATTTGCTCCGGTGGTCCACCTTCCACTCTGGTAGAGACATTCTGTGCGTTCTCGCTTTGCCCAGGGTACACTCGACCGAGATTTTGGTAAACGTAGCAGTTGTCCGTCGGGTCGTAGTAGTAGTAATCCTGTCGAGAGAAATCATATTCCCACGACGACGGCTTCTGCGCCTGCTGCATGTTGACAAGCTGACAAATTCTGGAGCAGAATGGCCGAGAGCGGTCTGTGTAGTGGCGAGAAGCGGTGGTGCACTTTCGACTTATAACGCATAGACGAAAAACGGTGAGTTCCTTGGCTTTGAAAATGACAGAGTCCCGTTCCTTTAATGATCAGCTTTGAAACATGGCACTGCAAGACGACTGGCTGAAGACTTCGACCGTCTGATTGTGGCACTGCAAGGCGTAGATGCAGGACGCCAATTCCGGGTTAATTGGCATTGATTGGACCGGGAATGCAAGGCTTACGGTTTGAGCGGGGTATCGGAGAGTGATTTTGCATTGCTGCCTATTGCAATAGCGTCTACGACCCTAAAGCATGCTGACCTGCGTCCAGTCCACGTCACCACCACCGGGAAGCCGGGACAGTATTTCGAACCAGCCACGTGAGGGCGCAACACATGGCACCACGCAATGAGATAGCCTAATGACGCGAGTGACTTCTTCAAGATGATTTGCTAGTGGGCAGATGAGTGATTATGGCCTGACGCAGATCTGGACGAGGCTGAGCTTGGCGCCGTTCGTCAAGGTTTGAACTGGAAAGTGATAATCGTCACGCCCTGCCTCTGTAAAGCTCCAGACATCACATCACCGCCTCCTTCTCCTCCGCAGAGCCGCACTGATCGGGTCACATTGACGACGCAAAAAACACGATGCCTGCACCAAGTCACCAATCGACCCTACATGCGATACGTGTAAGCAGTTGTAGGGCCGGGACGGGCCATATTCGTGCATTTATATTGTGCCGAGGGGGGATTTGAAGGTCACGAAGGGGAGGCCTGGTGTGTATAATGTTAAGGGCGGTGGTGAAAGAGGAATATCTTGATGCTCTCAAGTGGTGAAAAACTGCAAGTGATGGACATGCAGGTCCACGTCATTCGGCGAGGTTTCACGCAGTCATGATGATACATGGCGGGGCTGTACAGGACCCAAACAGCATCATTGGCTGGCTACATCCAAAAGGAACACCGCAGCCAACACCGCAGTCAGCACGGCGTCGAACACGGCGCCCAACACCCACAACACCCGCAATACCTCACGCAACACCCCAGACATCACTCCGAATACCGCGCGCAAATGCACACATATCGCACGGGTTCTCGATCCTGCAATGCAAAAGCGAGGGAAGAAGTGGGGTTGTCGGGCCAATGAAGGATTTAGCGCTGATGCAGACGGCGGGGGCCACCGTCGCCCGACTGTTCTTAAAGACTGCCGCCTGGCCCACGACGATGCACACTTCACAGCCTGCACACTTCAGGTCCATACGACATGTACGACACGTACGATGAGGTTGCCCAGCTGGGCATCAGGGAGTAAGTCACCGCCCGGTCAAATGCTCCGACTCATTCAATTGACGCCATTGCCAGTCCGGACTTTACAAAGGTACACACTTACTACGGAAATCTTGTCTCCTGATTGCACATACATCTGCAGTGAAAGCACTCTCTGCCACCATTGAACACCCAGACCATGGATCCTACAACCCCCAAGGCTGACAACCCACCCAGTACCTCAAAGCCCGCAACCTCGAAAACATGACCAGCTTCGCCCAACTCCCGGGCTTCCTCGACCCGGACAGCAGCACCGGCCGCGACCAAGGCACCGTCATCCCCGTCCCCATGCGCGACGGCACCACCAACCCCCTGCGCCTGCACAAACCCCCCGCCGCTGCCGCCGACCCCGCCCGCCCCAGCCCGCTCATCGTCCTCCTCTACGGCGGCGGTTTCGTCTGGGGCGACAACACCCAGTCGTCGCCGCTCGCCCGCGTCCTGGCCCGCCTGCACCGCGCCACCGTCGTGCAGCCCACCTACCGCCTCGCTCCCACCCACCGCTTCCCCACCGCCGCCCACGACGTCTGGGACGCCATCGAGTGGCTCGCCGACCCGGCCGGCGACGCCTCCCGCCTCCTCGGCCCCGACGTCGACCTCTCCGCCGCCGGCTTCGTCGTCGGCGGCCTGTCCGCCGGCGCCAACCTCGCCGCCGTCACCGCCCAGGCCTGGATATCCGCCCGCCGCACCCCCGCCCTGTCCGGCCTGCACCTCGGCTGCCCCGGCCTGTTCGAGGGCGGCGAGCGCCACGTCCCCGCCGCCTACCGCCCGCTGTGGTTCTCGCGCGAGCAGAACGCCGACGCCCTCATCACCGGCACCGCCGTGCTGGAGCGCGTCTTGGCTGCCTATGCCCCCGACACCGCCTCGCCCGAGTGGAACCCGGTGAATGCCGGCGAGGAGCACTCGCTGGGGTTCCCGAAGACGTTTGTGGGCGTGGCGGGCGACGATCCGTTGAGGGATGATGGGCTGGTCTATTGGCGCATTCTGAGAGACAAGGGGACCGAGACGAGGCTGGACGTTGCCCCGGGCGTGCCGCATGGCCATACCGTGTTTAAGGGGTTGGAGGCGGCGACGAAGTCGAACGTGGAGGCGGTCAGGGCGTATGGCTGGATGTTGGGGGATGAGAAGACGGACCAGGAGATCATGGACGCGCTGGAGAAGGAGGAGCTGATCTAGCCGAAAACACAGACATCCTTCCCATTCTACCTTGTCTATGCATTTTATTTTTTTTTCCCGCTCAATCCAACTCCACCGCCAACCGCTTCCCGGAAATCTCCCCCCTCCTCATCCGATCCAACGCGCCATTCACCCCCGCCAGCCCGCCCTCCTCCACCACGACCTCGGGCGGCGTCAGCAACCCCTCCTCCAACAGCCGCTCCAGCCACGCCATCGTCGCCCTCCCCACCTCGGGCACCTCGTGAAACAGCTTGATCGGCACCGAATGCACCCTGACGCCCTCGCCCACCCCCTTCGGCCCCGCCGCCAACCCCACCAGATGCGCCGGCGGCCCCGATCCCTCTCCCGAATCCAACGCCCGCGCCAACCTCGCCGCCGTCTCCCTCCCCACAAAATCCACCCCAAACCTCCCCACACCCGCATCTCCCCCAACCACTCCCCTCACCACCTCCGCCGCCCTCTCCGGATCATGACTATCCACCCACAAATCGACGTCCTCATCCCCACCACCACGTCCCCCACCACCAGCCCCGGCGCCGCCCACGATCCTCCCCCCATGCTTCACCACGTCCCCCACCGCCACCACCCGCATCCCCGCCCCGCGCCGCCCCGCCAGCCGCGCCGCGATCCGCGCCGTCGTGCTCGACCCGCCCCACAGCACGAGCCAGTCGCCTTTTTTGGCGCGCTGATGTTGCCGCTGCCGGCGTTGATCATCAGCTCCTGCATGCAGATGCGCCTCCGCGAGACAGTCGCCCGGGATCCGCGCGGCGGGGATGGCGGCGAGGAGGGCGCGGAAGTCGGGGCCTGCTGTTGCCGTTGCAAGGAATCCGCCGGTGCTGCTCGACGAGGAAGAAGAGGGATCAGAGCCGGAAGCGGAAGAAGTGGAAGGGTCGACGCGAGAAGAAAAATCCAGGCCGAAGCAGACGCCGAGGGCGAGGGCGGCGGCGACGAAGGCGACGCCGAGGGTGGCGCCGGCGGCGGCGGGCAGCGCGGCCGGCAGCCGGCAGACGGTGTGGGCGGTGGCGACGGCGTATTGCTGGAAGGCCGACTTGCGGGGGTCGCGGTAGTCGGTCGAGATGGCGAGGTAGAGGGTTTGGGTTTTCTGGTCCTTCGTCGTGGTGGTGGTGGTGGTAGAAGAGCTGCTGCTGCTGCTGCTGCTGGGGGGGATGGTGCCGCTGGGGGAGGGGCAGGCGGAGCTACTGCTGCTGCTAGTACTAGTGCTGGGGTGCAGGGGAGAGGACGGGTCATGCGCGTCGACGATGGTGCCGACGAAGTCGCGGCCGCTGATGTAGGGGAGGGTGGGGATGCCGAAGCCGAAGTCTCTGGTTGGGGGTTTAGCTATATGCTGGTGGGACTGGTACTGCAAAGGGGTGGGAGGGGGCTTACGGTGCCTTCCAGTCTATGGGATTCAGGCCAATCGCCTTCACCTTGATCAGCACCTCGTCGTCGGAGCGTAGGCTGGGGATGTCGTGCTTGGGCGTGAGGGCGTAGCGGGTGCGCGGCTGGTACAGCATGAGGACCGTCTGCATCGTCGGGACGTCTGGCGGCGGCGGCGGCGGCGTCGAGTGCTGTTGATTGGCCAGTGATGGAGATGATGGTGTCGTGTCGACCACAACGCCGCCGCCCTCCTTGAGTGACTGGAATGGCTTCACATGACGGTTTACGGCTGCCTTTGCGGCAGCATTGGCCTTCAGGTCGTCGATAGTCAGCTCGCGCTTGAGGTTTGCCCAGACGGGCGCGCGCACTTCGGCCTGGCCAATCATCCTTTGGCGCAGGAACAGAAAAGGAAGCGAGAAAGCTGCGAAAAGTGCGCAGAGGAAGAAGAGGTCGAGCGACGCAAAGGTGGAAAAGTGGTACATTATTATTCTTTGGGAAAGCGGCGGGCGTCTAGACGACGACGTCAAGGACCAGGGGGGGCCGGCGTGGAGCTAGAGCTGTTTTCGAGACGCATGATTGCGTGCTTCTGGTCCCCACGGCCGGTTTGCCGGCCGGTACGAGTCAAATTTGCAGCGTAAGTGGGAGAAGGCGCGAGGTGTTGAATAGCGCAACCATGGCCTCAGATGCACCCGAAATCACGTCATCCACAAGGCGGACATTGCCCTTTTAGGTAAATCCGGCCCATCTCTCGCCAGTGCAGGCCGGCCCGTCGACCGACTACTTGCAAACATGTCCATGAAAAGCAATCGAATAATAGTGTGCAAGCCGGGCATGTTTGGACGGCCAAGTGAGCATAGGTAGTAGTCCTCGCGCCAACGCCTGTCGAACCTCGTTTCTCAGCCAAGCCAAAGCACAAAAACAGACACCACCGTCCACACCCTCACCCAACAAGCTCCTGCTGTCTCCTCAAATCATACGCAACCGGCTTCCCCGGCTTCGCACCTACCCCTTCCTGTGATCCTTTGCCAGCAGTCTCAGGCGCCACATACGGCGGATCCTCCTGATAAACATCATACATGTACCTGCTCCCCTCATGGTCCGGCCTCAGCCTCGCCTGGCCCCTCCCGTACACCTTCTCCCTCGCCGTCAGCCCGTCCTTCTCGCCCTTCTCGGGATACAGCCCCCTCCTCCGCAGCTCCGGCACGAGCAACTCGACGACATCGACAAACGTCCCCGGCGTCGTCACGTGCGCCAAATTGAAGCCGTCGACGTCCGCCTCGCGCACCCAGCGCTCCATCTCGTCGGCCACGGTCGCGGGGCTGCCCACCGCGACGGGGCCTAGCCCGCCGATGGATGCCTTCTCGGCGACGACGCGCGGCGTGACCTTGGGGACGTCGGCGGACGTGGCCGTCAGCGTCGCCAGGATCGACTTGACGCTGTTGGCCTCCTTGGAGTGCGCGGGCGTGAGGTCCTCGTCGAGCGGCAGCGCCGACACGTCGATGCCGGTCCAGCCGCTGAAGAGGACCAGCCCGCCGACCGTCGACGCGTACTTGCGCGCCTCGGCGAGCTTCGCCTGCGCCTCGGCGTCGGTGCGGCCCACGATGGGGCACAGCGTCGCGAAGACCTTGATGGAGCGCGGGTCGCGGCCCTGCGCGGCGGCGAGGCGGCGGATGGTGTCGATCTTGGGCCGGAGCGGGACCGGGCTGTGCGAGGAGACGAAGATGGCTTCGGCGTGGGTGGCGGCGAAGCGGGAGCCGGCGGGCGAGGTGCCGGCTTGGAAGAGGAAGGGCGTGCGCTGCGGCGAGGGGTCGGTGATGTGCCGCGTGTCGAGCTTGAAGTACTTGCCGTGGTGGTGGATCTCGCGGATGCGCTCGGGGAGCGCGTACGTGTCGTTTGCCGCGTCCTCGACGATGGCGTCGTCGCTCCAGGAGCCCTCCCAGAGCTTGTAGAGCACGCGCAGGTATTCGTCGGCCTGGACGTAGCGCTCGTCGTGCTCGATGGGCGAGTCGAGCCCGATGGCTTTGAATGCGGCCTTCTTCCAGGACGTGACGATGTTCCAGCCTATGCGGCCGTTGGTCAGATGGTCGAGGGTCGAGAATCGTTTGGCGAGCAAGAAGGGTGGCTCGAACGTGGTCGACGCGGTGATGCCAAATGCTAGGTTCTTAGTAACGGCCGCCATTGCGGAAATCGGCTAGCACACTGTTAGTTGTTGCTTGGAAAATCAGCCGTGTCTCACTGCTGTAAGTATTCTCTGAAGCGATATTGCCGCCCACGGCAGGTTAGAAGGTCTGAGTCCTCCAAGTCCCCGCAGAGAACACCACACTTTTCATGGACAGCTGATTCCAATATCCAGACAGATTTGTCGGTATTTAAAAGCTCCTTTTAGGTCCAAATTTGGAATCCTTGTCACTCGCCGTGCTGCATACAACCCAAAAAAGAAACGGTAAAAGAACTCACAATTGTCGGGTCTGTCATGGGCCATTGCGCAGCTCTCCTGATACAGTTGTCCAAGCTTCCCTCGTACGTATCGTATCCTCCGTATGTATCTGCCAGAAACAGCGCGTTGATGTCGCCTTCTTCCAGCAGCTTGGCCAAGTCAATCCAGTAGTCCAACTTCCTCTTGGTAGCCGACCGATCGTTGGGATTCTGCAACAGCACATGTGAGCTCGGGATACGCCTCAAGAGTCAACCAGACTGACCTTCCATTGACCTGGGGACAGGTGACCAACGGTGCTCATATCAAAAGCGTTGAGCAGGATGTGCTTTTTCTCGGCATGGTAGCCGTTGGTACCGTTTGTGTGCGCGGCCATGGTCAAGTCTGTGGTTTGGATCGTCCGAAGCTCTGAAAACTGACAGGAAAGGACGATCGTTAATGTGGGGATGGAGTAGGGAGGGGTATGGTGATGATCACGTGGCGGGGTGGGACAAGAACGCGATTCAATCAACTCTCACTAAGCCCGCTCAACTACACCGTGGAAACCAAAGTTCGTCGGTCAACTTTCAGCCTTCTTATCCGCACACTTGGATTCGAATGTTCCTGCATCGCGGCTTAGTCAGTCAGCACGCCATACTGGGGGCATATAGCTTCATGGATCCCCGCTTTAGCGCCTGCATCCGCTGCATGATCCATGCGTCGAGGTCCTTCTCCCCAGCGCCCGCAACTGCTGCAATGACGTCCTAAACAAGGCTTTGCGCTAACACCTGGTTTGGTGTTATCTAACGGGGTATTGGAACACGGCTGCCTTACTAATATTACAGGCGCAATCAACCCCAAAGATCTGCTGATGCACGAGAAAGCCGAGGAAACACCAATTGGATGGCGCAAACCAGGTGTCGACGCAGAACCCCGCCCAAGACGTTGATGGGATCGCCTTTTTTCACTGATAAGCTGCGGCGCGCCCGAAGAATCCAATCGCACCTCGATGCAACATGTATACTCGACTTTTGTTTCATTGGAACCCGTGGCATTCAAGAGTGGAGGGTGCGATAAGACTGCCGGTGCGACCCCGATACGGTCGGTCCTTCCGGCTTGCGTAGCGGTTGCCGAGTAGCGAGTGGCATCCATGATAAAGTATTCATACTTGAGTCTCACCTTGCGGCGTGTTGCGGCCTGCAAACCCTTCTCGAATAATCTCTTTGTCTAATCGACAATGGCGGAAAGCAAGACCGCCGCCGCCACAGACACAATAGTGGTCGAGAGCCCTTCGTCATCGTCAATCGCTGCCAACGAGTTTCACGATGGCAGTCATGAAGGCAAAAAGGCTTTTCTCGCCTCATTCACCGCCGAAGAGGACAGGGCCATCAGGCGTAAAGTGGACCGAAAGTTCCTCCTGCTTCTCGGCCTTATATACCTGTTCAAAAACGTGAGTTCGACCGTGGAAGGGAACGAATGTACTCAACTGATGTCTGATCCAGATCGACTACACGAACGCAGCCAGCGTAAAGGTTCTACAGGTTGGAGAGCCAAGCAACGTGTTGAATGAACTTAAGATGTCGGCAAACGAGTACAACTGGGTGCAGTCAATCTACTATGTACGTGTGTTAACCTCCGGGTTATGAGCCAGTGTTAACGCTTACAGATCGCGTACATCCTGTTCGAGGTGCCATCCAACCTGCTCCTAAAGAAGACGAGTCCGCGTAACTGGCAAACGCGCATTATCGTGTCCTGGGGAACCGTTCTGGCTTGCCATGCAGCCGTCAAGAACAAAGCAGGCCTGTACACTGCCCGGTTCTTCTTGGGCGCCATGGAGGCCGGCATGTTTCCGGGTCTCGCTGTGCAACTGTGTTCGTGGTATAGAGCGGATGAGATCCAAAAGCCTTTCATGTGGATGTTCGCCATTCAAAACACATCCGGAATCGTTGGGTCCTTGGTTGCGTACGGCGTGTCTTACATGAACGGACTCGGTGGTCTTAGCGCATGGAGATGGTAAGTCAGACGAGTGTCAGATTGCTGAAGCGGAGCTGACCTGTGGTTGTAGGGTGTATTTGCTGGAGGGCATCGCGACTATTCTTTTCGGCGGCGTGGTGTGGGCAGTGCTCCCGGATTATCCCAAGTCGCCGCGATCCAACAGCTGGCTCACACCACGAGAGCAAGAATATCTGGAGGCGCGGCTGGCGGACAATGCTCCCAAGACACACGAGCCGTCGTTTAGAAAGACCGAGGTCATGGCTGCGCTGAAAGACTTGCGGACCTACTCCTTCATGCTCATACACTTTACCATGAACTTGGCGGGCTACGGACTGACGTGGCAGCTTCCTACCATCACGACGGCTCTCGGATATGCAGGGCTTCCGCGCAATCAGCTACTGAACATTCCCCCGGCAGCAGGATCGGTGCTGTGCATCATCTTTTGCGGATGGTTCCTGCGACAGGCGTACCTGACGCGTCCCATGTTCGTGATGATGATCAACGTGATCATGCTGATCGCCTACGGCGTTTTGGCGGGGGTGTCATCCAGGGTGGCTGTCTACACATGCATCGTGATCGGATACGCAATGAGCGCGGCAATCTGCGTTCCGTTCTTTACATGGCGGTCGTCGACGCTGAGCGGGGCGACAGGTGCAGCGTTCGGACTCGCGCTGCAGAACTGCGTTGGCCAAGTGGGCGGGGTGGTGGGGCCCCAGCTGTTCCAAGACAAGTACGCGTACAACGGGTACAAGGTGCCGTTCGCCATCTGCGCAGCCATGTGCGGGTCCACGTGCTTGGCGATTGCTTGGAGCTGGTGGTTGACCAAGGACCTCGAGCACGATATCCGCAGGATCAGGCGGCTTCGACTGAAGGCGGCCAAGCAGGGCGAAGTGTATGCCGACGACGATGTCGACATGAGCGGACAGCGCAAGTTTTTCAATGGGTTGCGGAAGAGGGCGGAGGTGTAGAGATGGAACGGGAAAGACCAGAGTTTGCAGATGACATAATGCCAACGTCACGTGAGCGCGTGTGTTCAATCATCAATCACTGGTCGCGCCGTGTTTAAGTCCCCCACAACCCACCCCACTCGTCCACTCCACTCTCCTACTCTGCATCTCTGCAACTGGCAATTTGTAGCTCGCTTCCACCCTCGCGGCCAGCATGTCCAATCTCGCTCCGCCCATCATGCGCGACGGCTTCGCCTACCAAGGCCAGCTGTTCGCCGACGCCGGCAACCACAACCGACACCCGCGCGCCTCCAAGGCCGAAATACGAGCGCTATTGCTCCCCAAGAAGCCGGAAACGGGGCAAAAAGACCAGGTTGGGCATTGGTACGTCGCCCAACTCAAGCACTATGGATTACCCCACACCAAGGACAAGAACGCCGCCAAGCTTCGTCTGCTTAACGCCATCAACACCGGCACACTCAAGGTACCCGCCGACGTCAAGCAGTTGGAGGCCGATTTGAAGAAGGAGTACGCTGCTGCCAATCGCAACGCCAAGGAGGCCGGCTTGAAACCCAAGGATGCGGCGCCCAACCCCACGTCCACCCCAGCGAGGAAGAAGAAAGGTAAGGCACCCACCGACAAAACAGCTGCTACGCCTGCCACGCCTGCCAGAACAAGAAGGGCCAAGGCATCGGCTCCCGACATCACGCCCGTCACCCCAGCGAGAAAGAGGAGGAGAAATGGTGAAGATAGTCCCGAGCCATCGGCAGGCCCCGCACCCTCGGAGAAGACCAAGCCGGCCGAGCCACCTGCGAAGAGGAAGAAGGAACCTGCGAAGAAGACGCCGGCGACGCCCAATGCCCGCAGTGTAGCAACACCACAGAAGAATAACACTGTCGCCTCGACCGAAGAGCAGGCCACCAGTGCATTTGATGACAAGAAAGGCGTCTACTACCTCACTATACTCGCCACCACCACCCAATTGGCGGTGCCAGCCGCGGATCCCAAGTCCCACAAGATGCTCCTCTGTCCAGACGGAGACGAGCTGTGGGGCTCATACTCCTTCGGTCCCTTTTCCGGTGTCATGCGGATTGACACAACATCTCTCAATGGCATTTCCGGCTTCACCTGGCGTGGTACGGATTCCAGTGACCCATCCCGAGTCAAATTTGCTACCGGGCTCGGGAAGCTGAACTTTGTTGATTCAAGGCGGATTGATGGGTCCTTCTTCAGTCTCGGCCAACACCGCACCCGTTTCGAAGGAAAACTCCAGGCGGGCGTGCGTCAGTGCCCTCGTGATGCCTTGAGCTTCCAACATGAGTGGGACGACTATACCCACTCCAACAAATGGTACGGATCACCTCCTGCTCGGGTTCCCGCTGGTGGGGGGCTTCTCTCGGGGTCTTTCTCCAGGAGCTCCACTCGTGATGCTTCTCAGTCGAATGAGCCGCATCACTCGCCCGTTGACAGTCATCAAGACACGTCATCCATGGATGAGCAGGACGTCGCAAAAGAGCCAGTCGTGCAAATGTCTAATCCAGGACCTTCGTTCGCTAAGGGTGTTGAAGACAAAACACTCAAGGAGAATGATAGTATCAAGGAGACTACCAGCATCAAGGAGAACGAGAACATCAAGAAGGAACCGGACTTGCAATGGCATGATGCACAGCCTGCGCCCGTAAACGAACTTGCGAGACAAGGCTCTCACATCCAGTCTATGAACAACTTTTACAACAACTCTGTTCGCTCGGGACCTGAAATTTCGGATATTGGCCAGATCACTGGTGTGTATGACATGCAGTGCCCGGCAATTGAGGACGATTTCCTCGAAAGCCAGAACAACCTCAAGATGTACCTCTGTCGCGACGCTAGGTCTTCAATAACCTGGGGCAGTTTCGCTTGGGGCCCGTTCAAGGGAGTCATCAAGATGAACCCTGGTCCGACCGCCTACTCACCCACGACTGTTGCACTCAAATGGCGTGCTCGTGACGAACAGAACGGTGACGCTCGCTTTGGTGGAGGATGCCACGGCGAGATGGAGTTTTCTGAACCAGGCTCAATTGCGGGCAAGTTACTTGGCCTGTACGGCGGAACTATGGAGTTTTGGGGCAAGAGGAGGGCTGGCCCGAGGAACTGCGGCTATGCGTTGCACCAGTTCGAGCAGGAGTGGGATTCCTATCCGTCCGATGCCGATGGAGAACCAGAAGAAAGTGGGAGTGAGGATCAGTTGTACGATCGCCACGGTAAACTCAACCCACGTGGTCGTTATGTCGACTTGTTGAAGAAGAGCCAGAGCGAGTGAGGAGAGATGGGTTGCGATTCATGTACTCTCGGTCGAGCGGAACGATGATTGGATCTCGGCTTAGGCGCTGATGGGAGTCAGGTATACCCTCATTGTGGGACTTTGGATGTTGGGCGCCTCGGAAGTGGTATGACAATGGTGCACATGATGTTCAGCTAACTACGCCGTCGGCGCTTCCGCAAGGCTGGCGTTCTGTTACCCGTGCAGAATTTCCGACAATGTCTGCAGGGCGTCAACGGCGGAGCAATGTATTATTCAACTGCATAGGACACTTGAAAAAAAAGAAAGAAACCCATTCTGAGTATTCAGAAGTTACTGATATCTGACCACGTTATTGGGGCTTAGCTGAGCATCAGATACGATACACGATCGACGCTGCATGTGACAGCAGGCCCACGAACACCGAGTAACTTGACGTCTAGACACGGTAAGAGCGGGTGATTGCCCAAGCGGCAGCGGCAAGCCGCGAGTAATCGCAGACTGACCCACCGCAGCACCATCCACGGCAGGAACAACCCGATCGTTTTGTCGTGTGGCTCGTTAGCAAATTGCCGGGCTGCTATTGTGTGCTCGTGGGCGGAGATGGCGAATTACCCAAAACGCGATAGCGCGCTTCCAAACACTGGCTGGAAGACCCTACCCTGCCACATAGTCCCCTTGCGCCTATGCAATGTCTAGCTAGTCTGACTCGAGAGGTAGGCTCCATAGCACTCGGAATTGTGCGCTAATACTTTTTACCAGGCCGCTCTGAGTATTATCTCCTCGCGCGTCCCGTGCTCCGATCCCTCCCGCATATAGCGCAGCCATGCTCGGCACCGCAAACGATGGCGCGTTGGAGTGGAGCCATGAGATGCTTCCCCATGCCCATAATTTTGCTAGGCACTCGTCCCGGTAGGCAGGGTCGCTGATAGGGCAAGCTCACCAGTACTCAAGAATGGACCTTTTCCCTGCTTTTTTGCTCGTATCACCACCACCACCCTATCCCCACCTTCGTCGCAAAGGAAGCGCTTTTGTTTCCGAATATGGTGACGGTACCATCTATTGTGCCATCAATAGTGCCTCAGCGCGCGAAACGCTGGTACAATTGGTTCGCGGATGATGACACCCCCGAGGAACGCAAGCTCATTGTCAAGCTGGACACCTTGATCGTGCCGTACGCGTTTTTGGTCTATTGGTTGAAGTAAGTTCAGTCGCATTTGTTCAATGAGCGACAATTCTGACGGGCACAGGTATCTTGACCAGGCAAACATCAGTGAGTGGCCATTGACATGAACTCAGTTTGAATGCCGCTGACCGGCAAACTTGTAGATAATGCATATGTCGCAGGTCTTTCCGACGAACTTGGCTTCCATGGTAACGAGCTAGTACATTTGCAGACAATGTACATTGTTGGAGCGGTGGTCGGACAGGTCCCGTTCGCGTGGCTGTTCACCAAGGTCCGGATGCACTGGCTGCTCCCCGGCATGGACCTTGCGTGGGGTATCTTCACGCTGTTGCAGTACCGGGCCAACGGCTACTCTGAGATGATGGCGTACCGCTTCTTGGTCGGACTCTTCGAGGTACGTCCAACTACAAAAGTCAGGTTGGATATCAGCACTCTGACGAGACGTGCAGAGCGCCTACTTCCCAGGAGTCCACTACGTCTTCGGCGCGTGGTATCGGGGCCATGAACTCAGTCGCAGAGGAGGAGTCTTTTACGTCGGGCTCACGCTCGGCACCTTGACGGCGGGTTTGATCCAAAGCGCGGCAACCAGCACGCTCGAAGGCGTCCACGGCCTGTCTGGTTGGCGGTGGATGTACATCATCTGCTCTTGCATGACCTTCTTCATGGGCTTCATCGGCTTCTTCATCTTCCCCGGCACGCCCGACATGCCGAACCGGCTCGTCCTCAAGGACCACGACATCGAGCTCGCGAAGCGCCGGCTCGAAAAGGACGGCCCCCGCGGCTCGGTCCAGCTGACGTGGCGCACCGTCAAAAACGTCTTCTCGAGCTGGAAGCTGTACGTGCTCGTGTTGTGGGCCGTTTTCTTCTGGAACGCCAGCATCAACACCAGCTCGGGCGCGTACCTGCTCTGGATCAAGAGCCTGAAGCGGTACCCGTCGCCCACGGTCAACACGCTCGGCAGCACCGCGCCCGCCATCGGCATCTTCTACGTCCTCTTCATCTGCTTCGGCGCCGACCTCTTCCTCGGCCGCGCCGGCGCCATCACCGTCGCGTACGTGTGGAACGCCATCGGCATGATCATCCTGTGCGTGTGGGACGTGCCCGAGGCGGCCAAGTGGTTCGCGTTCAACACGTTTTACGCGTCCGTCGCCATGTCGTCGGTGCTGTACGGCTGGGCCAACGACATCATGCGCCACCGCCCGGACGAGAGGTCGTTCATGCTCATCGCCATGAACACGGTTGGGCAGAGCACCACGGCGTGGACGCCGCTGCTTGTGTTCAAGACGGTTGAGGCGCCCAGGTTTCCCAAGGGCTTTCCGTTTGTGTTGGCGTGTACGATCGCGACGGTGGGCATGACGTTTGTTGTCAGGTTTTTGCACAATAGGGAGGAGTAAGTTCTGAGAACTGATGGTCTGAGGGTGCACCTGCTAACTGTTGGAATAGGGAACAACTGAAATCGAAGGCGGAGTCTGCAGATGGGGAAGCCCAGCCTGGGACGCCGCCGGTGGGAACCCTTGTTGTGGACGCTAATCAGAAACACGCGTAGAGTTTGGATGAGATATAGTCTGTGATGAAAATCAAGTCGGCAATTGAAGAAAGTACCATGACCGAGACGTCGAATAAACGGACTTTTTGCGCGGGCAGTTGAAGCAAGTACCTGAAGATAGACGCTGGATTTCAAATGTGGACGAATACATACAGACATATGATTTTCACTGTCCAGTTGAAAACCAGAGTGCAACGAACAAGATAGTGGCATCTGCATGTACGTCCATTCTCCTTTTTCTTTCTCATAAAGTGATGAAGATCAGTTAAACGCTTGAGCTCTTTGTTCGCCAGCAACACGTCATCATCACCCACTTCATTGTCTTGCACGTGGTGAAGACCTGATGCAACTCAATCCGATGCCATTCCTTTGTCTCCCCTTTCGCCACCGCGCCGGGTCATCGGTATCCACCTCAACTTTCCCTCAGCTTCGCCGCAACCCCGTCACACAAGACATCCAAGCCATGTTCCAGCTACTCCTCGCCGCAATCGCCCTGATACTGGCGTACCTCCGCGCCCTCGTCTCCGCCCAAAACGACGTCACAGTCCTCGGAACAACCCTCCCCACGACGTCGACAACAACAACAACAACAACAACAACCAAAGACGTCGCCGCCGCAACCGTCGGCGGCGCCTCCTCGACATCGACGAGCAGCGAGGCCCCCGCCGCCACCATCACCATCACGGTGAACCGCGTCGCCAACATGTTCGTGCCGGCCAACGTGACCGCGCAGGTCGGCGACGTCGTCAAGTTCGAGTTCTGGCCGACCAACAACTCGGTCGCGCGCGCCGCCTACGGCTACCCGTGCACGCCCTACGCCCTCGTCTCCCCGGCCGACGCCGCCGACGGCTTCTGGTCCGGCTTCAAGCCCGTCGTCGCCAACCTCGCCCAGGTCAACATCACGGAGCTGGTCAGTCAGCATCCATCCATCCATCCATCCCCATGATCCCATTCCCCCCCACCCCTGCATCTTAATTCCTCGCGCGTACGTGATTTCAGCGACATGGCTGATGCATAGGTACATACATACACACAGCCCGCATACTACATCGCCATCAACCGCGTCACGCCGCTGTGGTTCTACAACTCGGCCCCGGGAGCCTGCGTCGGCTCCCAGATGGTCGGCGTCATCAACCCCGCCGCGCCGTCCGACCTCGCCGTCCAGAAGCGCGCCGCCGCCCAAGCCACCCTCGCCCTGAGCCCCGGCGAGCAGCTGCCGCCGGAGGGCGCTTCGGCGTCTGCTTCCTCCGGCACCGCTGCTGCTGGTACTGCTGGTACTGCTGGTACTGCTGGTGCTGGTGCTGGGGGTGGTGGTGGTGGTGGTGGTGGCTCGTCGTCGTCGGCGCACGTCTCGGCCGGCGCGGCGGCGGGGATTGCGGTCGGGTGTCTTGTTGGGGTTGCGGGGGTTGGGGGAGGGGTGTGGGCGCTGAGGCGGAGGCGGATCAAGGGGCGGCGCGTGCAGGAAGGAGCGGGGGGTGGAGGAGGCAGCGGCGAGAAGAAGGGTGGTGGGGAGGGGGATGGAAACGGTGGTGGTGGTGGGAGGAGTGCGGTCGTGTCGGAGTTGCCTGGGAGTGCTGTTGCTAGTTCGGATGGGGTCGGGTCGCCGTGGTCGCCGGTGGCGACGTGGCGGGGGAGGCAGACGGTGGTGAGTGAGTTGAGTGCGTATGGGGAGTTGTCGAGGGAGCAGTGAGTCTTTTTTTGTGCGGCCCCTTTTGTGGTGGATGTTGTGCTGATTGTTGTGTAGGATACCGACTACGCCGCCGGACAGGAGGTTGCCGATGTTGCCGGAGGTTCAAGCGAAGAAGGAAGGGCCGTTTGAGCTTGGTTCTTAGGTCGTGTGGATTGCGAGGACGTGGATCTCTTCCCTTCATTTGTCACAGTTCGATATGATTCTCATTTTCATCATGTGCAGATGTTAGCAGATATTGTGGACGTACTGTAGCTTATTTCCCATAATAGCGTAAAACTTGAACGGAATGACGAGATCCAAAACGAAGAAGCCATCGGAAGAAACATAGGAGCAAAGTTTTACACACCACTCATATCCAAGTAACTCAAAGAAAGACCCAGCAGCGCTAGCCAGCATGCAGCTATCCCAAACCTTTTCCTGTACGTCGGCAACTTCTCCGGTGGAATAGGCTCACAGTGGATCAGAAGCTGGTAAGGATGAGTCATTATAATGGAATGTGGAGCTCTTCCGGGTTGTTTCCATCCATCAATGGTGGACACCGGACAGCTTAGATTTGGCTTTGAGTTTATTCTGATTGCTCAACGCTGGTGTACTTGATTCTGCACCAACGAGCAGTTCGAGAGATGGCTCCGCAAAAGCTTCTATTACTCACGGTTGTGGCTTCGTCTCGTTGATAAATTCGGTCCAGCTCAGTTGCGTGTGGCCCCTCTTGTATTCGAGAGCATCCCACGGAAGATGTCTTATAACTGGGACAATGCTCTCAGGTGAAATGGTTTCTTCACCTCCTTGCGTGACATAAGCTTCGATGTCGCCTTCTTGATTTCTTAACTTCCCGCCCTCGTTTGTGAATTTAGATTTCGGCGGCAGCTTTGTGGGTGGATGCGGAAGGCGAGAAGATGGTGGATAGTTGTAAGAAGCTGTGTAAGCGAAGGCGCCATCCTCAGGGGAGTGCGATTGAACCGGTGAAGGCCATCTGGATTTGGTTGAACGCAACATGTATCGAGATGTTTAAAGAACTCTTGATTGGATATCTGGAAGGCTTTGGGCATGCTCAGCTGCAAAACTGAGCGGGAGGGGCGAACCTTCTACGGAACTTCGCGAGGCTGCAGCTTGATGGGAATCATTCATATGCAAACAACTCATCTGGCCGTCAACTCTGTTAGTTTGTGTTTTTGTGAGCGATGATATCGCTATTCGGTGTTATATGACAGGCTCAAAACGTTGTATATCAAGTTTCTCCTGTAATGAAAAGAACACGACGAATATTAAACGTTCCAAAATCCAAACCCACCAGATTTCGCACATCCAATCCTCATTTCCAAAAGTCAAGCACTTTCCCATCAATTCCTCACCACCACAATCACTTATAATACTCACCCACCCACGCCACCACCTGCGCCACCACGGCATCAACAACCTCCCGCACGCCCTCGTTCGCCTCCGCATTGCTCGTCAACAAATCCGAGCAATGAATTCCATCCGGAATGACAAACACGGGCGCCGCCTCCGTCGACTGCAGCGGGCCGCCCGGCCTGAAATCCGACGACACGGTCGCATCCCTCCACGGATCGAACTCGCCATTGACCCACACCACCCTCGTCGTATTCGTCCTGCTCCACCCACCCGTATACGCATTAACATCATCCACCGTCTTCCCCTCCGCATGCCCATACGTCGGCGCATCACCGCCACCATCCGGGAAGAACAGCCCGCACTGCCTCTCCCAATACCCCGGCGTCACCAACCTCGACACGATCGACGGAGTACCTGCCGGCGCGCCGTCCTGCCAGAAGTCCAGCGGCTCGTTGCACAGGAACCACTCCCACTGCCTGTTGGCGGCGTTGGCGACGGAGCGGTCGGCGAAGATGGGCGAAGCAGCGTCGTACGTGTCGAAGCAGCCGACGGAATCTTCATCCGTCCACTCGGCGTACCCGTAGCTCGCGCAGTACCCCGGCAGCAGGACGTCGCGCATCCAGGCGGCGTAGCCGGCGAGGGCCTTTTCCAGGCCGACGCCGTCGGCAGTTGCTGAGGGAGCGGTGGTGGTGGTGCTGTTGGACATCAGCGAGGGCGCGGCGTTCTCGACGTAGTCGCAGAACTCGTAGAAGGTCGAGTAGTCCGTGTAGAACTGGTTGCCTTGCCACTGCCACGGCCCGTTTTCGAGCGCGGACGCGAAGTCGTCGTCGTGGGCGAGGGAGGCGAGGGCGCCGAAGGGGGCCTTGAGCGCGGCCTTGTCGGCGGCGGTGCCGTTGGCGAGCACGGCGTCGACGTGGTCGATGACGAGGGAGAGGTCGGCGCTGCAGTTGGGTGGCATGCCGGCTTGGATGGGGGCGAAGTATTGCCACTGTGTGTGTGGGGGGAGGTGTTAGTGTTTGGGGAATTTGTTTCTTTCTTTCTTTCTTTTTTTCAGTTCTGGGCGGGGGGGAAGAGAGGGGCTTACAAAGTCGCTGATTGCTTCGACGACGGCGGAGGAGGCGTGGTAGGCCCAGAATGTGCCGGGGTCCACGGCTTCGACCCAGCCGGCCAGCGCGCCGCTGTAGGAGCCGCCGGAGAAGACCCAGGGCTGAGGCAATACGCATTTCGTTAACACAGTCGTTCGGAGCGATTAGAATAAGAGAGGGGGACTGACAGCACGGGTGGCCTGGCTGCTGCCGTTCGTGTCGAAGGGAAAGACTACGTTCTTGGCGAAGTAGGTTATGTCCTTGATAGATTGCGGCAGGGTCAGATACTGCAGGTTTTCCGCCGTCAGGTCGTCGAACGGGGAAGATTCGCCCCAGTAGCGGTCTGAACGAGGGTCAGCACAGAGTGCGGTGGAATGTGGGCGGTTTCACTGACGCTCAAGCATAACCCCGGCACCTTGGATGGCCTGGGCAAACATGCCGGTGATGGTGCGGTTGGTCAGGTAGCCCTCGTAGCCATCAGCCGCACCCTCGCCGGGAGTGAAGAAGACGACGGGCGAGCCCGGTCCGGCCCAGAACTCATCGTTCCACCAGTACCGCTGGGAAAAGGTGCCGAGAGACGGGTCGTCATGGTCGATGAGTTGCTCGAAAACGCCGGTGCCGGTGCTCCGGGCCTTGAGAGCGCTCGCGACTTGATCGGCTTCGGGAGGAGGGGGAGGACGGAAGAGCGAACGGTGTTTGGGGAGGATGTTGGCGGTGGTGGTGGCGCCGAAAAGGCAGCCGACGAGGATGGCCGCGGTGGACCACTTCATCATTGGCAACAGTGCAAGCAGAAGGCGCGTGCAGGAAGCAGTGCCGCATGTCGTCTGAAGACTCGGCTTCTTATATTCCGCATATCTGAAGACGCGGCTTCTTATACGAAGACCTTCCCTCGTTCAAAGCAATGGTGGGAGTGCGACTGGGGTTGTTATCAGTTCACAAGGGTGTTCCACCTTCCCAATCGGTCTGGCAACCCCCCACCTATAGCGCGTATTGCATGCGCAAGCTATTGCCAAGCTGTGCCGTTGATTGCTTGTTTTAGTGATCTATTAATAAAGTAATCTACTGCTGCAGGTCCGCACACGACTTGGGGTACTGGACGGCGCGCTTGATGGCCGTCTTCAGCTTGTCCCCGTCAATGGAAATGGGGAAATTGACGAGGCGCACGTTGGGCGGGGACAGGGCCTTCTGGTAGCCGTGGATGTTGCCGTAGCTGGGGCTGGCAAAGGAGACGTCGACGTCGAGGTAGAACTGGGTCGAGTTGGTCACGATGGTCGGGTCGAGCATGATAGCGGCAGCCGTCTCGTCCCAGAAAGGAAACTGGGTGCCGTAGTACTCGTGCATGAGAGCCGAGTACGGGTTCTCGACCTCGTACACTTCGTCCAGGAAGTCCTGGGTCGACATGACCTGATTGGCCACGTTCCCGCCAATGGCTGCGCGCACGTCAGTCGGGCAGTCCACTCGCAAAAGCTTGTCTCAACGCTTACTGATGTTGGGGAACGGGGCGGTAAGCGCGATCTTGGCCGCCTCGGGGTCGATCATGAGGTTGATCTGCAATTAGTCGCCGGTCAGCGTGGGAGGAAGTGGTGGGGAAGTCGTTGGGTACTCACGTCGGAGCTGAGATCGGCCTGCAGCACGCTGCCCGTCACCTGCAGCAGGTTGACGTCGACATAGCCGCCCATGATGACCAGCTCCTTGGCCAGGCTCGCAAAGTCCGGGTCCATGCGCACGGCCAGGGCGACGTTGGTCAGGGCGCCGCCCGAGTAGATGCTCACCTGGCCCGGGTACTTGCGCACCTGCTGCACCATGAAGTAGGCGGCGTTGGTGTCGGTGGCAAACGTCGCGTTGGGGAAGCCCTCGGTGAAGGCAGCGCGCGAGATGCGCGTGGGCGAGCCAGAGGTCGGATCGGAGCCCAGCGCTTCGGCCGTGAGGTTCTCGGCCGCGAACGCGCCCTCCCTGCCGACATGTCAGTGTTGCTTTTTCAATTGACGAGTCCATCTACCCACCAAGGCAGCGCGCCGTGCACGGCTTTCCACGCCGCATACCGCTCCGGGGTGTGGATCAGCGGCCAGTCGGCGCCCTTGTACACGGGGATGCAGTCGGACAGGCCGCCCACCTCCAGCGTCGCCAGCCCGTGCAGCCCCGTCTGCAGCGCCCAGCTGTTGGCCGTGTCGGACGCGAGCCCGAGCACCTCCCACCCTGCATCCAGCGCCTGCAGGAAGGGAATGAACCCAGCCGGGCTCCAGTCGTTGTCGAGGATGACCTTTGGCCGGTACGCGCCAGTCGTCGTCGTGTTGGCCGTCGTGGTGTTGTAGTCATACACCGGCTCCTGTCTGCGCAAATGTGTGCTCGCAGGGACCGCCGCAGCGAGCGGCAGCAGGGAGAGTGCTGATGCGGAAATCCTCATGGTGGCTGGCGGTCTGGAGTAGTCACTGCTCCGCCAGGACGGAAGCTGGCGAGCCACGAGCCCATTTTATAGTCGTCTCTCGATTGCGAGGAGCTCGGCATTTCGTCGTCATCCTCGGGCTGGATGCTGCTGTCGATAATTGACGGCTGAGAAAGTAGTGCCCTAAATGCAGGTCGGGAGCCGAGCGCGGCGGAGACCGCCGTGGAGATCTTCAGGTGTTTCTACGCGATGCGGACAAGCCCTCGAGCGGTGGTGGACAGATGTGGTCACGCTGCCCGGATAACAGTCTGGCAGTCTTCTCTCGGTCGGCACTTGGGCCTGCCGATCGTCCCTGTCGTGACGTACTTCCCGATGCTTTATCTACCCACGGGCCGCTCTCTGGTTGGTTAGCTCTGGACCAGCCTTCTATAACCCTGACCGCCTGATGGGCTCGGCCATGGTTGGTTAACTATGTAAATACTTGGTTCCGGTGATTACACATATCCATGTACATCTCAACCCTCTGCTCAAGTCTAAATATTAGTTCGAACTGCCCACGCGAAACAGAAGGATCACGCCTCTCAGTAGCAGTCCGTGGGGCACATCAACGCCGCCGTCCCCAGCAGCGAGAACGACGTCCGATGCACGGCACCATCCAATGGCGGCCCTGCAAACATTAACAAAAAACATCAGCATAGAGAAAGGAAAAAAACAAAAACAAAAAACCTTCACTTCCACAAGACTGAACTGAGACGCCCAGCCCGATGACCGAACCGACGAGGGTCGAGTAGGACATGTCGAGGTCGCAAGCGTGAAAGCTCCGGCTCCGGGTGGCAGACTTGTCGCTATCAGCGCGGATGAACCTCCCAGCATCCAAGATAAGAGCACGTGGAGCTAGCCAGATGGCGGGTCAACACGCCCAAGAGTGGAGGAAAGTGCAATCGGGTGGCGCTTAACCAGATAAGACTTAGCCCGCCGTGCGCGACATCCGCTCAAACCCCGCGCCTCCCCATCAGGTATGCAGAGCCGAGCTCATATATCACCCACGTACGGGGCGCCAACATGGTGTTTTTTGTCTCCGCTCGCTCATGACCAAAAACCCTACCCAATCCATCCAGCCAGCCTCGGGCATTCTGGGGAAAAACACACTCAACCCACCATGGCATCAGAAGGCAATCCCCCCACCTTAATTAACCACACAACCCACCAGTACTAACCACACCCACCCGCTCCGATCCAGACCTCCTCACCCGCATCTCGCACCTCATCCAAGCCGACCCGGGCCTCCCCCACCCGCGCCCCACCCCCGCATTCTGGCAAAACCCACCGCACGACCTCCCCACCACCGCCACCACCCTCCCAGCGCGCGCAACCACCGTCGTCATCGGCTCCGGCATCACCGCCTGCAGCCTCGTGCGCGCGCTCCTCTCCAAGGACCAACCCGAAGGTGCTGCCGATGACGTCGTCGTCGTGTGCGAGGCGCGCGGGCTGACCAGCGGCGCCACGGGGCGCAACGGCGGGCACCTGGTGTCGTCGGCGGTGGCGGACTTTGCGGGGCTGCGGGACGAGTTTGGCGCGGGCATGGCGGCAAAGGTGGCGGGGTTCACGCTGAGGAATGTGGAGAGGATGTTTGAGGTGGTGATGGATGATCGGGGGGAGGGGCTCGGGGAGGGGGTTGCCGAGGCGAGCGAGTTGAGGGCGGTGGACAAGGTGTTGGCGTTGAGGGATGAGGGGGTGGTGGAGAAGCTGCGGGGGTCGGTGGAGGCGTTTGAGGAGGGGATGCCGGGGGAGTGGAGGGGTCAGATGAGGATGGTGGGGAGGGAGGAGCTGGAGGAGGTGAGTGAGCGAGTGTTGAGAGCGAGCGGGCAATTGGGCAAGCAAGCAAGCGCTGTTGTGTTCCTTTTGCGGACGGACGTTGAGTGGAGCAGGAGCCGCTCGCCCCGGGCAAACAGCAAAGCCACATGCTAACAAGAGGCATCAAAAGAAATACAAACTCCGCCACGTCGCCGGGGGCGCCATCGGCAAGGGCGGCGCACTATGGCCGTACCGTCTCATCACCCGCACCTGGTCGCACCTCCTCTCGCAGCACCCCGACCGGCTCCGCATCGAGACCTGGACGCCCGTCACCTCCGTCACCTCCTCGGACGAGCACGACCACGACCACGACCCCACGCACCCCTACCTCGTCACCACCCCCCGCGGCACCATCCGAGCCACCGAAGTCGTCTACTGCACCAACGGCCACACGGGCCACCTCCTCCCGCGCCTCCGCAAACGCGGCGCCCTCTTCCCGCTGCGCGGCACCATGACGGTGCAGGACTGCGGGCCGGCTTTCCCCAAGCAGGGCGACAGCAGGACGCTCAGCTTCTACGGCAGCGTCAAGGCAGTACGACGACCACGACGACAACGAAAACAGCAACAAACGAACAACGTCTCAAGCGCGAACGACACCAACATCAGCATCGACGAAAACGAAAACGGAAACGACATCGACTCCGACGACCCCAACGACTCCGACTCCTCCTCCTCCTCCTCCGACGACCCCATCTTCGACCTCGGCCTGCACTACATGCAGCAGCACGCCGCCACCGGCGCCGTCTTCATCGGCGGCGAGACGGCCACGGCGGCCGACCTGCTGACCGCCGACGACAGCCGCGTGTCGCAGACGTCGCTCGCCACGCTGGAGCGCGTGCTGCCGGCCGAGTTCGCCGACGACGTCTGGGATCAGGCGCTGCTGCCCGGCCGGCAGCAACGAGGAGGAGGGGAAGCAGGAGGAGCAGGAGCGGGAGGAGCGGAAGGAGGAGGAGAAAGAGGAGGAGAAGAGGGACGGCAGCATCATCACCCCAAAGTGACGAGCAAGTGGTCCGGCATCATGGGCTTCACGGCCGACGGCGTGCCGCTGGTGGGGCGGCTGCCGGAAGCCGCGACGGGGCGACGGAACGGCGGCGGCGGCGGCGGCGGCGGCGGTGGTGGGGAGTGGATCGCGGCCGGGTTCAACGGGTACGGCATGGGCAACTGCTGGCTGAGCGGCGAGGCGCTGGCGGGCATGATGCGGGGCGAGGACGTGAGCGGGTGGCTGCCCGAATGCTACCTCGCGACCGAGGAGAGGCTGGCCTCGCTGCATGCCGGGAAGGCGGCCGAGCGCTTGTTCGGGTGTTAGGTGATCGAGGGACGAGGGACGAACGAATGGTTCGATGCTCTCATGCTCGGAAAAGAGCGGCGTTAATACAGTCGTTTTTCCATCGGGCCTGGAGGGGCTCGGATTCTTTCATGTGACATGATGTTGCACTACAAAATGCGTGGCCATAAATGTGCATGACTGACAGCACAACTGGATGCAATTGATGCGAGCCCACCCAGATTCAGACGGCCCGAAGTCACACAGCATATCACAAAATCAGAATCTACAAAAGGTTCAGACCTACAGTCAGGCACGACATTACTGTGAGCGAAGTACTGCTTTCACGTTAGAAGAATTGTCCTCGACGACATCGCAACCGGTATGCTTTCATCGGAACGAGTTCGAGCGAAAGTGGAATGCTCAACCAAGGAAAAGAAAAGAGAGCAAAAGGGGGGAGGAAGAGGAAGTACTGTGAGCAGATCTGTTACCATGTTATGTGAAAATAGACGTTAATGTGCAAGAAGAGCGTCTTCAAGTCCTAGGAAAGAACACTCAGCCGCCGTTAAGTAAGACAGAATTAACTACCTCAGAGCACACTTTACGCCTCAGCCCTCTTTTTGCACTCAATTACCGACACTTCCGACGAGGGTATCTGCCAAATCTTAACGAGATCCAGCCCGGCCAAGTCAATCAGCGTATGCCAATCCTTGATGGTTCGCTCCTTCGCACCAAGGTTCATCATGCAGATGTCCGTCTGGGACGGCAGGGTCGTCGGCGGGTTCGGCATGACCTGGTCCATTATGATGATGCGCGAGTGTGGTGTCATCGCATCCTTACAGTGGCCGAGGATTTGCGCATTGTACTTGTCCGACCAGTCATGCATGATACGGCGGAGGAAGTATACCAGTGCTCCTGCTATCAATCAGCACAACTTCTCAACACCGGCACAATATTGATGCTTACCCTTGACGGGCTGCGGCTGGAAGAAGTCATGGACCATGAACCTCGCGCCCTTCAGCTGCGGCGGCCTGCTTTCCTCGGCTTCCTTGATGGTAGGCTCTCGATCCTGAAGAACGAGGCGCTCGGAGGGGAGTTCAGGCAGCTTTCCCTTGATCTGCGCGAGCACCTGGCCCTTGCCGCCACCGACGTCGACGACGAGTGGCGCATCGGGTGAAACCTTGTCAGCGTTCTCCACAATCCACTCGAACGGGTAAATTCCGACCACGGGCAGCTTTTGGTCCAGCGTTTGCATGCTGATGTTGACGGCGGCAATGCGCTCTGCTGTGCATGCATCCCAGAAGTTCTTCTCTGGCACGCCCCAGCCGAAGCCATGGGGAGAGTGCGTCGGCTCCAGGGGCTCCTTGCGGCCGTACTTCCTGAAGTACTCTGGGAACTTCGAGTAAGGCACAAGACCCTCATCGAACCTAGGCGGCTGTCAGCATTGGAGTGTTTCGTCAAGCAGCGGCAACTGGGTACATGATCTGAAAAAATTTGCCTTGCGGGACGTCATTTGCGTATATCGGCGAGAATTTGGTGTGGGCGACGCAATCGTCGCCGATCTGTCTGAGGACGCCGGTGGACACAAGCACCCATGCGAATCGACCTGGCGAAGAAGGGTCAGGATGGATTGCACATGAGAGGTGTGACACTTACGCAGCAAAGGCTCTTCAGCATTGACCTTGGCAGCCAAATCAGCATAAGAGATGCACCCGTCAGAAGGAATGTGCTCAAGCGCGCGCCAGTCCATCAAGAGGCGCAGAGCACCCATCTCGGCCATCTGTGGACGTTAGTGGTCAGGCCACGACTTTTCGACGTATGGCTACCGGGGCAGAGCGCGGGGTAGGCGGACGGGAGCCATGGAAAACTTACCCACACGCAGTAGTCATCGAACGGTTTCTCGCGCGGGTCTTGAACATCGTCGATGATTTCCCGGGCGAGGGCGATGATCCTCTTGCGCTGGGCGAAGCCATCCGGGCCGGACGAGTCGGAGTAATCGCCGATCTCCTTGGACAGATGATTGGACAAAGCTTTGAGCGATTCCGACATTGTGGCAGTAGAGCACCGGGTTGGCAACGGTCTTGAGGAGGGTGTGCATGAGTTTTAAAGCAGAGACTGGGCGGATGTGCAGGTGCGCAGAGGTGGGTCGGTCATGGCTGGTCGAGTGGGCAGGTGCGAAGCGACACGCGACCGTGATGGTTGGGAAGGCGTGGCAGCACACCAGCCATTGGCGGCCACGCTGCTGAGTGATGGGTGAAGAGATAGGGTGTGCGCGCGTTGCACATGCTTGCGACAGTGCCACGGATGTGACGGGCTCGCAACCCACTGCACTGCGGCCCGGCGCCCCGCGTTTGCCCCCATGTCGACGATCTCCACCCCTGCTGGCCGCCGATCCCCTGTACCTCACCCGCCTGCGATCTGCGTCAACCTGTGGCTGATGGCTACCGGTCTGTACCATCCCCTGAGCTTAGCCGCCTGGCTGGACTGCCCGCCGAGCTATAAGACGCCATTCCCGCCTCCCGCCCAGCATGCTCGCTTCTGCGTCAGCCGCTGGCCTTTTTCCCCGCTGCATCACCACCTGCCATGGCCGAGCTAGATCCCGAACGAGCCACTGCTGCCTACGACTTGCCGCGGGAAATCGAGCCTGATGTAAGCCCAAATCATGCACCCCTCGGTTGAAAACTCTCCATGTTCACGCACAGACTTAACCACCAGTCTGCAGCAGAATTCTCCGACGAGGCGTATGCGGAGTCCAGGCATGTAGCCAGCTATCCCGCCGCCACCCGCCGCCGCTACATGTCCTTTTGGTGGCAGCCACGAGCCGTCTCACTAACTGCCATCTGTCAGCACCTCGAGCGTCTTGACCTCCATCGCCTCCGAAATTAGGAGGGGGCGTGAGGAAAATGGCAGGATATACCCAGCCTACGGCACTCAGGGTTTGTGCTCTATGACTCTCTCCCTCCCTCCATTCTGCCCGAGCTATCCTGCTCACTGTGAGCCAAGAGTACATGCTCCCCGTCGACGAGTACGAGCTCGACCGGATGGACATGCAGCACCACAAATACACCCTGCTCCAGGGCGACAAGCTGTACCTCGCCCCTCTCCGCGATGATCCGCAAAAAATCCTCGACATCGGCACAGGTGGGTCGCCCCTCTCTCTCTCTCTCTCTCTCTCTCTCTCTCTCTCTCTTTCTGTGCACCCAAACTCCTCTGATACACACCCATCATCAGGAACCGGCATCTGGGCCATCGACATGGCCGAGAAATTCCAATCGGCCGAGGTCAGTACAGTCACGCCCCACGCGAAACCGAGCAGTCGTTGACCAAAAACCAGGTCATCGGGACCGACATCGCACCAGTGCAACCAATATGGTATGTGCGGGAGCACGATATCGCCACGCGAGCAATCCGTCGCTAACCCGTCCCGGACGGAAAAGGACACCGCCGAATTGTTACTTCGAAGTCGACGATTGCGAGATGGACTGGCAGTTCAAGCAGGAGAGCTTCGACTTCATCCACACGCGCGACTGTTACCTCTCAATCCGGAACTGGCCACGCCTGATCGGCCAAGCGTATGAGTATGTCGCCTCCTCCCCGCCTCCTGTGCCCCTCGGAGACATTTGTCCCTCTGGCAAGAAAGAAGAAGAAGAAGAAGAAGAAGAAGAAGAAGAAGAAGAAGAAAACAAGACCCCTCACTGACATCCCCAATACACGCGCACACACACAGCCACCTCAAACCCAACGGCTGGCTCGAACTCTCCTGCGTCTGGCCCGTCCCGCAATCCGACGACGGCACCCTGGACCAAGAATCGGGCTACGTCGAACTCTGCCAGACCTTCTGGGACATCGGCGAGGCCATCGGGGCCGACGCCGACGCGCCGCGGTGGTACAAGCGGTACATGGTCGAACAGGGCTTCGCCGACGTCGAGGAGGTCGTCTTCAAGGTGCCCACGTCCGAGTGGCCCAAGGAAAAGCGGCTGAAGCGCATCGGCGCGCTCGAGAGGCTGAACCTGCTCGAGGGCGGGGAGGCTTTTTTGCTTCGAGGTATGTGTGTATGCATGTATGTGCGGGTGGGGGGGGTTTTTTTTTTTTCGGTCTTTTTCTCGTCCTCCGTCTCAACGTCTAATGAACTGCGTCGTTTCCATTGCGGCCGTTCTGATTCCCCTTCTTTTCTTAGGCATGACCAGAGAGTTCGGCCGATCGCGCGCGGAGATGGAAGTGATGCTGATGCGGATGCGAAAGGAGCTGATGGCCAACAAATTCCACAGCTACGTTTCGTTGTGCGTCGCGTCTTCTTACTTCCCACCACAAAGGAACATTCGCTAATCGGCGCTCAGCTACGTCGTGTTCGGCAGAAAACCAGACACAAATACCTGAGCTGATGGGTAGGATGACGTATCTATCCTGGAGCGCTGCCCTCGGTATCAGCATTGTCCCCTGGTCAAAGCGTTCTCACTCCAACACATACTCCCAAAAAAAAAATCCAGGATGAACGTACAAACACTGCAACATTTGGTTCCGACCTGGTGAGCATCTCCATCAAGTTTCATCTGCTACAAGAATGCACGGAAGCCGAAAGTTGTGCGGGATGCATGCACATCGAAGATCTGATCCTCCGCGCAACTTTTCCCTGCCTTGGCAAAGCAGCCTCAACGAGCCCATGAAGGTCTGGCCGGAGGCCACCAGTCGGAAGATGATGAGCTGAGCCTCTGATTGGAGAAGTCTTGCAACGGCTGACGGGCGCGTGGATCTGTGGCTTACTGCTTGGACGCCTGACCATTGTTCGGTTGCCTACCGGGTCCACAGATCTCATACGTTCTACCCAAATAGAACCTTTTTAGCGACTAGTACTCTCAAGAAAGAAAAGAAAAAATGTGAAAATGCGGATCAAGCTTGTTGCTGAATTCTCGTGAGGTCTCTGGTCAACTCCCAAAGCAAAGCGACTTGCTAACATGATTGTCTCGGAACGCTCAGCAGAAAGAAATAATGATGCAATGCTCGATGAGTTTGGGAAAGCATCAATGGTAGTCTTCAACAGCCAATATGAAACGGGGGCCTCCCAAATAGCCTGCAATGCGAGAGACTTGTTGAATCACCTCCTGACAGCACGCCTCCCGCCTGCAGATGAGAAGAGGCCCCGGTCTTCCGTAACTTGACGGCTCGCAATGTTACTAAAGCCCGTCCCATTTTCCTGATTTTGATAGAACGATGCAGGCGCCTGATGGCTTGAGTTCTCGACTAAGTTGAGCGCATCGTTCTGAGTAAAATTCCTTCGGGACGAGATTGGCGGAGCGTATTGAGGTATTGACTGCATGCGCGGTGTCTGAAATGGCTCTGCTGGCTGAAGTTGGGGAACAGAACCAAAGTATGAAGAAGAAAGTCGAGGTTGCTCCGGACGCACGAAGTAACCATCGCGGGTTCGTTGGGGGTTATGTGCCATGAAAGGGCGGTCGGTGATATTTCTCTGTGGTGGCCACATATTGCTGGCCTGATACAGCGGCTGGCTTTGAGACTGATCTCGTGGGGCGTCGATGAAGGAAAGGCCGTTGAGACCACGCGGCTGAGACCATTTGTTTGGAGGAGGCATTGGCGCATTGGTTCTCTTAGATACAGTACCCACGCGAGCGTTTGCAGATAGACCTGCTACACCAGGGCTCAAGCCGGAGCGAGCTCCTCCTCGCACTCTCGAGAAGAATGGACTTGAATTTTGCCTGACTGATGGCATTCCAGAGGCTTGATGTGTCCTTGTCAATGGGGTTGCAGATCCATGGTTGATATTCTGACACCTCTCCGGCTTTTTTGCATGCGTCGAGAGCCCCAATTCCCTCAACTGCTCGTTTCCAACATCGGGCTTCTGGATGGTCGGCCAGTTTTGTGGCAGCTGGTTTACCTGAGACGTTGAGGGATTTGCGAATGTAGTTCGATCGTGCATTCGCCTGAACACGGGTTGCCGAATGGTTTCTGGTTGCCTATCGTAAACATGGAATGCCGTTTCATCCTCGTAGGTATCTCCCACCCCATGCGCATGTAGAATACCGTGACGCTGGTCTTCTTGTGAATGGGTTTTGTTTCCCATAGCGTTTTGCAGACGATCCGTGGAATGAGCCAAACCTCCGGTCATGAGGTATTTGCCGCAGTTCTCTGGCAAGACTCGAGGCTTCGGCGTATGCGAAATACGTTGACGCGCTTCTCTATTGGGGTTTGTATGCCATTCACCATCCTTAAATACTTGTGCCTCAGGGATATCTGCTGGATCTGACGGAAACGCATTCGATGCGCGTGATATCTGTACTTTTTCCAAGTTCGCTGTTGGGCCAGACAAGAGACCTTGGATAGTTACTCTGGTATCTGGAACACGGTCTTTCCGATGGTGATCCTGCCACTGTTGATCGTATTCAGAAGCAATGCTGGCGTTCAACTCAGAAAGCTTTCTTTTTCGACTGGAACTTGACTCGGAAATATGGGTTTGTGCTTTTGACCCAGGGTGTTTAGTCAATACAAAATTGCCATGATCTGAAAGGAGAAATTGGTCCCTACCTGTCCTATACTCGGTACGTGTATGGTTTGTGGGTGCTCTCACTGTTGAGACTTCCCTTTCGCGGATGGTGCTCTCCGGTAGATTTGAGTCTACCGTCCGCTCATACTTGTCATCCACCGCGTCGCGGAAAGTATAGTCTTTTTTGGGCACCGCATAGCCCAAGTCAGCAAGCTGTTCCCGCAGCTGGTTTACTTCCCTGCCATCAGATAAATAAGGCGTAAACAAGCCTCGTCATGGGAAGCTTACTGCATGACCATCGGCCACTGCTTCAGGTAGTGCGTAATCTTCGGAAGCCTCTGCCTCCATTTTCCAATATCCGTGTTATCTTTCTCGAGGGACAAGAGCTTAGCCTTGAGCTCTCTATTCTCCGTGGTCGTTGCTGCATTCTCGGAAGCAAGCTTCTTTGCTTGTGACTCGATCTCGCGCTTCTCTTGCTGCAGCTCGTTATGTCTATGGGATATGGATGTGGCAAAACGGATGAGGGAGAGGTATTGGAACTAGCAGAGTGAGCAGAGAAAGCAAGATAGGGCAAACAAAGACACTGCACCTGCAAAGCTTCCCTCTCCACGCTCTGGCCTTGAAGTTTCATCGGTGGTACTTGGAACAATTCGTGTGGTATATCGGGATCAAAATTGCCAGGTCTCAAGCCTCGCACAGCGTACAGTGTCCTTGGTCTCTCGTCATTCTTGTCCCTGCGGCACAGTGGGCATGGAGCTTTGGGATGCTGGCCCTTCGGATGAAATGGCGCCCCTACAACCCGGGTCTTTGTCAGCCTGGCATGGCTCGCCGCCTAGACGTTGGGGGCGACTGACTCACCGCCGCCCTCGAGATGCTTGCCACATGTCAGGTGCATGCACTGAGTGAGCCAGAGGCAGGTAACGCGTCGATCTGCGGTGGGAGGTCGGCCATCCTGAAAGTCTGTCACAGTCGCGCCGGGACCACCTTCGCCGTAGATGTCGGAGATACTGGCCTGGCAGATGTCGCAGGTGAAGATAACATCCAGAGCACCCGGAAATTGTCCCACACTTTGTGAAAGCGCCATAGCCGAACCTTGAGGGTCGCAGTCGCAGCGAGGTGGGAGAGGGCGCGGTCGACGCGACGTGGACCCTGAAGCGTGTTTACTTCGAGTACCTGCCAAACGCAGTTCCTTCCCAGTCAGGCAGAAGCGAGACACAATGTGACCACTTCCAACAGAGCACACACTATGTGAGCGCTGCCCGGCTTTGACCACGTATCTCATTATCCATTCGCGGCTCTGCAGAAATCCAACATGCTGCACAAGATCACGGTGTTCATCGCACCTAAAAACAAAGCATACGAGCAAAACCACATTCTCTTCATGTGCTATATTTACACAAGCACCCCCATCTCTATTCTCTTTTCTAGGAACTATCCTCGCTCCTAAGTAAAAGTCCTGCAAGGGTACCTGCAACCAAGTCAGCACAACAGCTCCTCCAAACTAAAAGGGAGCACAAAGGAAGATAAAAAGAGTATCCACTCACGCTCCCGCATACGACTGCTCCTCCTCCAACTTGTACTTCTTCTCGCCCAGCTTGCCAGACGTGTGGTGGCCACTCGGCAGCGGCGGCAGACCGTCCGCGTTCAAAACGCTCTTCGCGGCGGCCGGATCCTTCTCAAAGAAGGCAGCCACGCCCTTCTGGCCCTCCTCGCTCACGGCGACGAGCTTGTTCTTGCCGGCCTCGCCGATCAGCTCGACCTTCTCGGCGGCGGCGCTGCCCACGCTCAGCAGGCCGACGACGTCGCCCTGGGTGACCGAGGCCAGGCGCGGGTAGCTGCGGCGCGTGTCGCGCTTCCAGTACGGGTTGTCGGCGATGTCGCCCGCCGGCACCGTCACCGGGTCGTCGTACGAGGCCGGGTCGAGCGCGCCCGGGGGCGGGTTGCGGAACTGCGGGTTCAGCGGCACGCCGGTGCTGCGCTTCGGGTCGACGGCGAGGACGTTGCTGATGCGCGCCCAGATGCCTTCGGGCTGCACCGTGTACTTCTGTTCACACCGCCCAATGCGAGCATTGCGTCAATGTATGTTTCACGCGGGCGGAGGCTTATGTGGGCCATCGCAATGGCTGCTCCCACCGACGCTGAGCTCCGGCGGCCGCGGTGGACGGGAGAGAGAGCTTGCAGGGCCAGGGCAACCGAGGGCGCGATCGGAGGCTAGGACGGGCGGGCGGAGGGCAATCGCACCTTGAAGGACGCGGCCTGAGCGACCTTGGCCGCGGCGGACTTGACCGGCTGCGACATTGTGGTGGTTATCCGGGGGTTCGGAGTGGAGAGTTGGGATGGCCGTTGACGTTGGAGGTGCTGCCGCCGACCGTGATGCGGCTCCGTCTTGGCGGGAGTTCAAGTCAGCGGGGCGCTGATTGGTCGGGGACGTTTCTGACTCAGGCCACACAACCCTCGCCTGCCTGCTCTGCATGCTCACGCCTCATCAACCCCACACGCATCATCAAGAGTGAAGGTCCAACTATTTTTCATCGCCATTAACCCAATCGTACTAGGTACTGCACAACGACTATGCAAGGAAAGAGTGCCCCGATAGCAATGATCTTTCGCCCAGCGCGTCAGACTCCTGCCATCCTCTCTGCCTCCAATTTGATCTGCTCACCTTCCTCCAAGTCGTGCAGGTACCTCGTCAGCTCCCTCGTGGTACCCTCCACACTTCCGATACTGAGAAAACTATCATTCCTCGCAGTCTTCTCTCCTTTCTTGTCTGCACTTTCGCCATAGCCATCTGACAATCTCCTAAATTTGACCTTCTCCCTTTCGTCGGCGGCAGCCCGTGCAACCATGTCATCCAAATGTCCCGTACTGGCAAGGCGGAACGCTGTGCTGGCTGATGACGACTTGTGGTGCCTGTGGGCCAGCAATGGTCTCTGAGCTGACGACTCGCTCGCATTTGCATCTTCGGAGCTGCCGCCGAAGCTCGGAATCTGCACGCAAGACTCATACATCTGCGAGAAGAGGCGGGCGTCAGAACGCCACTCCTCCGACGAATTGTGCTGCGCGCGCGGCGGCCGCCTCGTCGCCATCGGGCCACGGTCGATGGCAACCTTCTCCAACGCTGACATCGTGCTCTCCTCCGTCAAGTTTCCCAGCTGCCTCTCCAGACGGGAGGATGAGCTGATGCATCTCTGTCCCGCATCGTCCAAGGCCTGCTGGAAGTCCTGGCTCGGCGTGCTGAACCGGGTCCAGGTACGCGCGTTGCTCCGCCACTCGGCTGAGCTGTCGCCTTTCTTCTTGAGACGGGCACGGTTCCCGCGATCGGCGTCATTGCCGTAGGCGCGTGTGAAGACACGAGCATTGGCCGCCCAAGATCCGTCTGAGCTGTCCGTCGTGCTCTCCTCGCGGCGATTGCGCTGGATCTTAAAGTCAACCTTGCTCTCTTTTGCCTTCGCCTCCTCATCAGTGGCCTTTGCGTCGCCCTCGACAGCGGTGAGGTCCGCTATCGAGGTTGCACCATCTGTGTGTGCTCCTTGTGGACTTTGCGGTACCTCGAATTGGACCGGCGAGAAGACTGGAGGCAGAATCTCCAACTCGGGATGCTCCAGCGTGGCACTTTCAGCGACAGAGCTGCGGTGTCCGTGACCGTATTTTCTGAACTCCTCGCTCTGGCTCCTGAACAGACCAATATAGTGCTTGAGAAAGCTGAAGTTGCGGCTGAAAGTCATGCTCTTACTCTTCGACATGCCACTGCGGTCCGTCTTCGTCCTTTTCATAGAGCGGAGTTTGGTAAGCCGTATCGCCCCACTCATGCTAGGATCCTCATCCTCGGTTGAACTTTCATTCTCGGCCCTTGGCATGTTGGTCTCATATGCGAAGTCCCGGGTCCTCACGTCATCAGATGAACCAGCAGCTCCCGTACGCAGCTCTCTGGTGTGGCTGGGGAAGCGACTCCAGGCGCCGAGATCGCTAGCCTCGATTTCCGCCAGAGTGGTTCCTCCCCAGCTGTCGATGTGCACGTCCTTCTCGATCGAGACGACGCTAGGGTCATCCCCAGTCGAGGCTCCAGGAGAGATGCCATTGGCCGGCGTCACAGAGCCGGAAGCTGTGCTCAGTCTGAGTTCATCGCCCAACATTCCACTGCTTGGTCTCTGCTTCATCAACCCTTCTCCAAACCCTGTCGTCTCCAACGGGTCGAGCAAAATCGTCGGAGACCTCTGAAGACCTGGTCCTGTCCCACCAAACGTGAAATCACCTCCAAAAGCGGGGCTCTTGCCCTTGCGGTCGCTCAGCTGGGATCGCGTGCTGAGGGCGCTTCCACTTCCGCTGCGTTCTCGATACAAGCCCCGAGCCTCTACTTTGCCCCCCTTCTCCGGCGATAAAAACAGCGCGTTCTTCTCGTCTCGGTGCTTTTTCAGGGCTTTCTCCCACATTGCATCCTGGCCGAGACTTTTGCGACCGTCACCAATGAGCCAAGAACGGGAAAGGCGGCCAGGTCGATGTTCCTCGACAGCTTCCGGCATCATAGATTGATGTTGCTCTCGACGAGGTGGATGTTCGTGGGATTCCTTCGGTGTACGTAGGTCAGAAGGTCCATCCGTGTGGTGATCAAAACCACGAGCTCCTTTGGCAGCTTTGTCTTTAGAGTCATCAAGGGCCAGATGCTCATCAGACCTCGACATCTTCCGGGGCCGCAGCGCAGGACTGTGCGACGCACGACGCAGATTCGAGTAAGTCTTGCTACGGAAGAACGAGAAAGTCGAGAACCTCTTGCTGGGCGTCTTCATACTGGGCGTCTTGATGCTAGACGGCTTCTTCTTGTGTTTGGCGCTGCTCAGCTGCGCCGCTGGAGCCGGCGACACAGGCTGTGCTTTCGGTGTCTTCTCGCTCGACATGGGCGACTCGACCGCAGTGACAGGAGTTATGTCCAAGGAGCTATCGGTCGTCTCTTCAAAGCTCTGCTGATTCTGCTTCAGAGGTACATCTTCTCCTACCGCTGTCTCTTCAGAACTCTGCTGGTTCGACTTCAGAAGTGTATCTTCTCCTGCGTCAGTCGTAGTCTGGTCTGACGAATCTTGCAATTTGTATGCCGGCCGTTTCCCCTTCCCCTCCGTAGGTCCAGGAATCTTCTCGATCGCCTCGGGCTTCTCATTCGCAGTCCTAAACGTCAAACCCGTGTCCGCCCTTTTGAGCAGGTTTATCGAGCTCGATGGCGGGAAGGCACCCGGCATGGTCGAAAACCGTTCCGGGCTCTCCTTGACACTCGCCTTTCCTTTCTCGTCGGCTTCCGCGCTCTCCATCCTCAGCGGTCCCAAGTCATCCAAATTCAGGACTTCGTACCCGCTCTTTCTGACGATAGTCCCATGGCCACTGTGAGGGGCGGCTGAGAAATTCACCTTCGGCGACGCCACAGGCGTGCAGGTGCTGCTGCTCGTCAAGCTGTTCTGGCGCGTCGAGTACACCGAGCTGGGCTCGTACACGCTGCTCGGCGTCGCCGACACGACGTTGCCCCAGCTGTCGGGCACGCGCTCGCTCGCGAAGCCCGACGACGAGCAGCGCAGTTTCCGCGACTGCCTCACCGTGCCGCCGCTCTGCTGCGTATGCAGAGTCGGCGGCATGCATGGCTCGCCGCCGCTGGCGACGCTGTCCTTGGCTTCCGAGCGTCGGTGCGGCTTCTGGTCTTGCTGGGCTTCGGCGGTCGGCGTGCGCGAGATGCCCGACAGTGTGCTGTCGGAACGCAAGTGCTCGGAGATTCGCATGTTGTGCAGGTGCACGCTCACGCTTTCGGGGTCGGGCAGATTGCTGTGCGGGCCATGGACAGAGACGTGGCGGTTGTTGCCAGGGATGAGGCTGAGAGTGCCGTATTCCGCATCTGGCAAGGTTTCAGAGCCGGTGCGGTCGGTGGTATCCGTACCGCTACTCGTGGTTGGAGGCGAGGCAAATGGGGCCTTGTCGGCAAAGCGTCGAGTCTCATTGAGCTTAGTCTCATCATGCGTTTCCTCCCGATTCTTGTCTTCGTGTATCGTGTGCCTGGGTTCGCTGAGTGGAAGATTGAGTGCGGGACTCCTGTCTGCTGATAGACGCCAGCCTTTACTGTTGAATGATGAAGTGAGGCTAGGCAGCTCTGTAGCCTTGAGGTCCGGTGTTACAGGCCGCAGGTTATCTGCAGACTTCGAGCGTCTGCGTAGATGCTGCTCCGCGAACTTTTTCCAGGGACTGCTCCTACCACTGGCTTGGGACAGCTGGGGCAGGCTTTCGACACTGACATTGCATGAAGGTAGCACGCCTAAGTCAGAGAGGCTTCTGGGTATGTGGACAGACAGGGCGGGTGCGCTGCTGCTTGGTTCGCCCCATCTACGTAATAATCATCAGTAACAGTGTTTCATCGGTACCTGATCACTGTAAGTAGACTCACCCGTACGGCTCATCACGGGCACTCTTCCCAGCCCAGTCAATGCTGCTCAATTCGCCTCTCCTATCGGAGCTGCGTTTGTTCTTGATAGGCGATATCTTCCCATTTCCTTTACCGTTCTCGGGATCCGTCACTTTCGGCAACCGCTCGCCGACACTGTCCTTGATGTCCGGCAAGTTTGCGGCATCGGAGTCATACGTGCGATCAAGGAGGATTTCTCGTGTCGCAGTATCGGAAGGGTCCATCTCGACAACATCGTCGCCGGCAATCTTGCTTTTCGGCTTTGGCTTCTTGCTTTTGACTTTCTTGTTGCCGGACGAGACTGGCTGTTGCTCTTTCTGTGCCTTCTCTTTGGCTGCAGCTCCTTTCTTCAGATTAGACAGACTGAGGTTCGACCTGCTCAATTCCCGCGTCAGGCGCTTCAAAAGCGTATTCTTCTTCGGCTTATCGTCATTCTGATCATCATCGAACGTTCTCTCGGCGGCTGTGGCAGGCCTCGAGCCCGCTTCGGCAAATATTTGCTGCAACTCCGTGAGATCATCGGTATTGTGTGAGCTGCTGGGCGCTTGATGTTCGAGCGGCTGCCTCTGAGTTGTGCGATCACCGCCAGGCTTCACATGCTGCAGGTGGCGGCGGAATGGCTGTGGAGAGTTGGGGCGAGAATCCGTGTTTGCGTTGCAGCATAGTGCATCTGCAACCGCTGGGGGCGGAGCCATGACGGCTGGATCTGTTCGATTTCAGGGCCTGTCTCGCGATGGTTGAAATGTGCAAGGGCTGTTTACACGTCGTTCGGAAAGGCAGTTGCCCGCGGGGTAGGTGCAGTGATGTGTACTGAGACCACAAAGGCAGCTTGGCCTATTTGTAGAATCCCAGGACGGGCGCTACTCGAAGCGACGTGTGATGTTTGGGGGATATGATCCGGATCGAACAATGCAGGAATAGGAGAGAAGTGAGATGGACGGGCCCGATACAAAGCCATTGAGGGACGTGAGACCAGCAAGAGCTGGTCGATACAGGACAGGAAGGGGCGAGCAAACAACAGGACTGGCCACCTGCACGCGGAAGCTGGTTCCCATGCGACGCACCTGGCAAGCATGTAGCAATCCAGGTATGCACGCCATACGGAAACGACAATGAGGCCGGCAGGTACAGTCTACAACGGCGCGCAGCTTGCTTTCCACCACGCTCGACTCTAAGTACGGTATCAGAATGCGCAAACTTTATTATCGCGGGGACAGCAAGAAAGGAGGCCATCAAGAAGAGAACGTTTACACAAACGCTTCAGACTTTCCATTCAACAACCCTTAATTCAAGTTTATCAACCCGTTTTCGCGCCTTAAGAACCCCCCTGATACAAATGCTGGTCCTCAACCCAGGCTGCAACGCCGGGTGTACAAAGTTTTCGCAGCTCGTCCCAGTCGTGGGCTTTTGCTGCCTTGCGGATCCGTGTGGAACTCACACCAAGGCCTTCCTGGCTGACCACATGGTCCACTTGTCGTGCCCATTCCGGTTTGAATCCATCCTTCGCTAGCGATCCTTTGGATAGACCCTCGATGTATGCGATTTGTTCTTCTGTCGATCCGAAGTCCTGCGAGCTCGAGTCGTTCGGGTCGGACGGGCGCAAAGTGGCAAGAATTTTGTGGCCGGGGTCGAAATAGGGCGCCAGTGCTGAGAGCGGAGGCGAGTGATCAGTGTAGTACTTTGCCGCGAGAAAGCGGGTCACGGTATCGTAGCCGATGAGATGTACGTGAGTGGGGTTGCTGGGATAGGGATTCGGCTCAGAGGTCGTGATTGCAGTGGACTTGTCGGTGTAATACGGCTTTTTGGTCAGGCCGATGTCGATTGCTACATCAGGGCGCGACTGGAAAGCGGACGGTGTATTCGAGATAGTTGCCGAAAGATCCTCGGCGAAAAGTGTCATCATGGCGAGACGGTGTTCGAAGCTCGCGGGGGTGGGTGCCTTGTCCGCATTGTGGGTGCTGAAGAGAAGCAGTATGCGGTGAGGGCTGGGGTCTCCGATGACAGGCCGTGTAACAGCAGATGTTGCAAGTGCTAGGTGGGCAATGGAGGGTGGGTTGAATGAGGAGTCTAGTATGTACAGCGTCTTGGGAGGCTGCGGGGAGCTGGCAGCGGGGTCGATTGTCCGAACAACGCGAAAGGCAGACGACGAGGAAGTGAAGGCATGCAGCGCGGACCCGAGCTCTGGAAGCAACGCACGCATGGATGCGACGCGACTCGCCATGTCTGCCATTGGGGGTGAGATGCGAACAGTGAGCAGAGCAGCGCTGGATGTGGTTGTTGCGACTGGTGCGACGCGACGGAGATTGCGCACGGACCCGATTTCGCGGTAAGGTCAGATCACCAGTCAGGGAACCGGCGCGGGAGGCGGCGGCGGGTAAACACTCATGGCCTCATTGCGCCCTGCCGAGTCGCCCACCACAGCAGGGTCCATGGGGATGCTGTCGGGCTGCGTCAGCTGTTCGCGCAGGCGCGAAGCCAGGTCTGCCTCCTCCATGTCCACGTCCTGCGGCGGCTCGCCAGTCTCGTGCTCACTGGGCGCGGCGAAAGACATTAACTGATGCTGAACGTAGAGAGGACTGTGCTGAGGCGGAGGCGGATGCGCATACTTTGGCTGCTGCTGCTGGAGCTGATGTTGCTGCGGCTGTTGCTGCGGCGGCAATTGCTGCTGCTGCTGCTGCTGCTGCTGCTGCTGCTGGTCCGGATGCTCGTGGGGCGGCGACAGCTGGGGGAGCGGCTGCTGGCCCTCGAGCGAGGCTGACGGCGGACCTTGCGACGGCTCCTGCTGCTGGTCCTCGGCCAGCTGGCCATCGGGCTTCTTCGGTGTAGCGGTTGCATCCTTGCGCGGGCGGCCGGTGCGTTTGCCGTCCTCAATGTGCTTCAGCTCGATCTTCTTGCTGACATCTGGATCGAAGCCGCGCTTGCGGGCTCTGCTGTAGATGTGCCGGATGGTCCGACTCGCAACGCCCGTCTGCTCCAGGATCTCTTTGTCCGAGAAGCCATTGACCTTGAGCGTCAGCGCCTGCACGCGCGTGGCAATGTCATGCGGCGCGTGCCGTTCCTTTGCATCCTTGGATTCCTTGGACATGACGGGCAGCGATGGAGCGACAATGGGTGAGGGTGATATTGTTCGAGAGACGCGTGCGGAGGGGCGAGGCACAGAAGGGGCGCGCAGGAAAAGTATGTGGCCGACCGGGCGCCATGTGCCGTCCCTCCCACCGCCGGTTTCCGAGCCTGCCCGCCGCCGCTTCCACTCCTCCATCGGCAAGAGAACGGCCGCGTCTTATGCGCAATGCGTTTTGAGAAGCCCATGGCTGGCCTGGGCGCTCTTTTATCGTGCTGCACGCATCTTCCTGGGCGTCGTCGGGTGGGATGGCTTGTCGCGTGCGCGCTTCTACTACGTAAGCCGCTCCCACTGCCTGCTGTGAAGCAGCGGAAGGCACAGCACGCCGTTGACGTGCTGTACCGCGCGTACCTGCCCTGCTCAACATCGCACGACTGCTGTGGCATGTGCAAGCATGACGGGGCTGGCCAACTCACGCGATATTATGAGAGAGAGCAAGGCTTACGTCGAAACCTCAGGCTGGGGTCCGGTGGGATCTGGAATGCATCTCGCTCCCCTACTCGCGTTTGGTTGCTTGCTTCATCGCCCACTTCTTATGTACTGTGTCGCGTACCGAAACGGCGCGGCTGCTGCGAGTCATCGCGCTCGGACATCTGAGAGTTTACTTTGCGTCGGGGTCTTGTGCTAATGGCTGGCTACTTTTCGGGCACAAGCTTCGGGCACAATCGGCGACAATCCAGGTTGCAAATGCACCGAAGACCCTTGGGGCAAGCCCGACTTGCCTCGAGCGCGGCGGCGCGTGGAGATGGCGCACAGCACTGGCCAGCCCACGCCCAAGGACGGGCCGGTGGTGATGGTTTTGCGTGCTGGTGGCAAGCTGGAGGAGCTCGTTGTGGCCTCAGGCAGCAGGCGTGGCAGAGCGCGAATGCCGAGGGGCATCTGCCGAAGATCGACTTTTGCGTGCGCGCGCGGACTCCCATCAAGGTAGCTTCCCCAGAACGCGGGGCAGCTTCTGGGGGGCGTATAAAAGCTCCAGAGACCTCCGCCATGTGTCTCGGCGAGCTTTTGCTCTGTCGAATTCGCCCTTGTCGGCGGCGCAGATTTTCTCGGCTCGTCCAATTGCGACCGACATCGGAATGAGCACGCCAGTGACGCTTTCGGCGCTAGCCCAGCAGCTGCCCACAGGCCAATGGCGGGGCGCGAGTATATTTTTCTCGCGCCCCTCCCCGCCGACCGTCCACCTTCATCCTCCCCACTCCCTCCTCCATCTTCTCCCTCCTCACTGATAAAGGCCTCTGCACTTGCTGGAGCCTTTGATCCGCCGCTTTTCTTCACCTGCTCTTTGCTCCCACAGTCTCAGAGTAACTTCTGCCAAGATGGTGCAGTCCTCTGTCCTCGGTTTCCCCCGTATGGGTGTGAACCGCGACCTGAAGAAGGCCAACGAGGCCTACTGGGCTGGCAAGATCTCGCGCGACGATGTCCTCGCTGAGGGCAAGAGGCTCCGTCTCGCCCACTGGAAGATCCAGAAGGATGCCGGCGTCGATGTCATCCCCAGCAACGACTTCGCCTTCTACGACCACGTCCTTGACCACATCCAGATGTTCAACGTAAGCCACCTCCACGCCATCATCCATACGATTTCGTCTAACGATCAACCTCACAGGCTATCCCCGAGCGTTACTCCAAGCACGGTCTCGAGCCCATTGACGAGTACTTCGCCATGGGCCGTGGTCACCAGAAGGACGGCGTTGACGTCCCCGCCCTGGTAAGCGGACATGCACAATGACAACGAGGCAAATGAAATCTGACGGACTCTCTAGGAAATGGTCAAGTGGTTCGACTCAAACTACCACTACGTCAAGCCCACCCTTCAGGACAACCAGACCTTCAAGCTGGCTGCCCACCCCAAGCCTGTCGCTGAGTTCCTCGAGGCCAAGGAGGCTGGCATCACCACCCGCCCCGTCCTCCTCGGCCCGGTCTCCTTCCTTGCCCTTGGTAAGGCCGACCGTGGCCAGAGCGTCAACCCCATCTCCCTCCTCGACAAGCTGGTCCCCGTCTACGTCGAGCTGCTCGAGAAGCTGAAGGCTGCTGGCGCCGAGACTGTCCAGATCGACGAGCCCGTCCTCGTCTTCGATCTCCCCGCCGAGGTCAAGAACGCTTTCAAGCCTGCCTACGAGAAGCTCTCTGGCGCCAACCTCCCCAAGCTTGTCCTCGCCACCTACTTCGGTGACATCGTCCACAACTTCGATGTCCTGCCCGCCATCTCTCAGCTCTACGGTCTCCACATTGATCTCGTTCGCAACCCCGAGCAGCTCCTCCCTGTCATTGAGAAGCTCGGCTCCCAGCAGGTGCTGTCGGCTGGTGTCGTCGACGGCCGTAACATCTGGAAGACCAACTTCAAGAGGGCCATCGAGCTCGTCGAGACCGCCGTTCAGAAGCTCGGCAAGGAGCGTGTCATTGTTGCCACCTCCAGCTCCCTCCTCCACACCCCCCACACCCTCGACAGCGAGAAGAAGCTCGATGCCGAGGTCCGTGACTGGTTCTCGTTCGCCAGCGAGAAGGCGGTTGAGGTTGCCATCATCGCCAAGGCCGTCACTGAGGGTCCTGCCTCTGTCCGTGAGCAGATTGATGCCAACGCCAAGTCGATGCAGGCTCGCGCCTCGTCTGCCCGCACCAACGACCCCAACGTCAAGAAGCGCCAGTCTGAGGTCGCCCCTGAGCACCACAACCGCAAGTCTCAGTTCCCTGAGCGCTACGCCCAGCAGAAGACTCACCTCAAGCTTCCTCTCTTCCCCACCACCACCATTGGATCCTTCCCCCAGACCAAGGAGATCCGCATCCAGCGTAACAAGTTCACCAAGGGTGAGATCACGGCTGAGGAGTACGAGAAGTTCATTGAGAAGGAGATCGACGATGTCATCAAGATCCAGGACGAGCTTGACCTTGATGTCTATGTTCACGGTGAGCCTGAGCGTAACGACATGGTCCAGTACTTCGGCGAGCGCCTTAACGGTTACGTCTTCACCACCCACGCTTGGGTCCAGTCTTACGGCTCTCGCTGCGTGCGTCCCCCGATCATCGTCGGTGACATCTCTCGTCCGGCTCCTATGACGGTCAAGGAGTCCAAGTACGCTGCCCAGAAGTCCAACAAGCCCATGAAGGGCATGCTTACTGGTCCCATTACCTGCCTTCGCTGGTCGTTCCCTCGTGATGACGTCCACCAGTCGATCCAGGCTCAGCAGCTCGCCCTCGCTCTCCGCGACGAGGTTGTCGATCTTGAGGCTGCTGGCATCTACGTCATCCAGGTTGACGAGCCCGCTCTCCGTGAGGGACTTCCCCTTCGCTCCGGCAAGGAGCGTGAGGCCTACCTCACCTGGGCTGTCGACTCGTTCAAGCTCTCGACTGCTGGTGTCAAGGACTCGACTCAGATCCACTCTCACTTCTGCTACTCGGAGTTCCAGGACTTCTTCCACGCCATCGCCGCTCTCGATGCCGATGTTCTCTCGATCGAGAACAGCAAGAGTGATGCCAAGCTCCTCAAGGTGTTCGTCGACAAGGAGTACCCCCGCCACATCGGCCCTGGTGTCTACGACATCCACTCCCCGCGTGTTCCGTCTGAGGATGAGATCAAGTACCGCGTCGAGGAGATGCTTGCCTACCTCAAGCCCGAGCAGCTGTGGATCAACCCTGACTGCGGTCTCAAGACGCGTCAGTGGAAGGAGACCAAGGAGGCGCTGACCAACCTGGTCAACGCGGCCAAGTTCTACCGCCAGAAGCACGCCAACTAAGCGTGTAGCAGCCACTCCAACATAGCTGCGACAGGCACCCGGATGGGTGACTGGTTTCTTTTTTCATGTGTTACGATATCAAAAGTCTTTTCAACAGGCATGATATGAGTGGGGTTGAGAGAATTCAACATGGGCGTTTTTCAACATTGGAGACTTTGCACGGCGTTTCGGCATAGGGAAACGGATGGGGGAAAATCGCAGCGTTCAACATGCGCCGCACGGTTAAGAGTTTGATACCCCTCAACAGGGTCGTTGATGATAGTATGTAGGGTGCTGCAAACAGCAACCGAAAGAAGATACCAATAACGGAACGAGAAATAAAGTTAGTTCTGACTTCATGCCGGCTCGCTTACTCATCTTGTGACGACACCTCGGCCAGCGTATGGCCTCTGATGTTGACGACAGTCAGCTTGGAGGCCGGGTTGCTGTTGGGACGAGCCACCTTGCGTGCTTTCCTATCGATATGATACCCCTGAGGCGACAGACACTGCTGGGAGCCTGACGTGGATGGCGGCCCTTGCTCACAGCGGCGGGTGAGACTCGCAATCAGTCGGCAGGGCGCGGCAGAGCAAGGCGCATGAAGGCAAGTCAGTGAATGCATCAGCAGACACGGGATCCTCCTCTGGCGCTGTGGCTCGGCGCTTGGTGGGTCGACACATTTCGGAAAACGCAGCTTCACACTGGGTCGGTCAAACAAGCACGAGGTGGGTGGCCTTTGCTCAGTAAATGCGAGGTGCTGAGATGGGCGGTCCCAATAGCGTGGGCCGTTCAATAAAGGGCTTTCGGCAGCACGAGCGTAGCCGAGCGATCCCATCCAACTTCCTCAAAAAGGAACTAATTTGTACGGAAACGCAACGGGGGAGAGAAATGAGGCGGGTGACTAAGGGACCGGTCAAGGGAGCGCGCACGGAGAGGAGAGCGGCCCACGAGGCGGGAGGGACAAGTCTGTCCACAACCGCTTTACGCGGCACGGCGGGTACGGGTAGGGCTGACAATTTTAGAGCATCGCTTTGATTGCGTTTCAAGAGAGTGCTTCGCCCGTGTTTCACCATGGCAGGCCGGTAGGGGCAAGAATAGGCAAGGCGACGACTGACGGCAACGGCAGCCCTCCTTCGGGCTAGCAGCCGCGGAAGGGGGGAGGGCGGCGCGGCACGTCCGCGTGGCCGTTGATAGCGCCGTTAGTGAAATGAATCATTGACAGGGCAGGCCTGCATTTTAGCTCCGGAAGATGGTTTTATTGCGTGCCTCACAGCCTGTCTGATCGGACTCGCCAAATGACGGCGATCAACAGAAGGGGGGGACGTAGGTCTCGCCGCGTCGACGGAACTACGAAATTGAGAGTTTGATTTCCAGCACACAAGGCACAGCATCCTAATTACGGGGATCTGCGCTTTATGCGAGCCCACCCGGTCCACCGCACACACCTACCTACCACGCTCCACCGTTTGCGCCTTTCCCCCCATCACCAGAGCCCGAGATGCTCACAGGCGCCCCGTGCTCGAACCACCATCTCGCTACCGCCACCCGCCGAGACATGGGGGGCGTGAGGGTGCCGGAAAGTTATGGAATCTCCGCTATTATTTCGCCTCGTCCCGCCCATCATTACTTCGCTCTGCCTTCGCACGTACACCGATACTTTTTTACTTTTCAGCCATTGATTTCCCTCAGACACCTATTTTCTCTCTCCTCCCCAGCCCGCTCACATCCACGGCATCGAGCTTCAGCACCAGGGGTCTAAGCCTTCGTTTCGAGATCGAGAGAGAGAGAGGGAAAAGAAAAAAAAGTTTCGAGCCGAGACTCTGAGATTTCGACGACCTACCTCACCAATCAACCATACGTACCGGCCTACGTACTGCACCAACCACACCAAGACCACACACACCCACACCCACACCCACACACGCCATGGCCTCCACCACCGCCACGGCCTACACCGCCACCGCCTCCGCCGGCTTCGCCACCGGCGCCCTCCAGGTCCCCAAGCACGTCGGCGCCTCGCGCGCGTCGTCGTCGGACCGCGCGCGCTCCTTCCGGCGCACGCAGTACAAGAAGTCGGCCAAGGCCCGCCTCGACGAGCTGGTGCGCGAGATCACGACGGCGCGGCACGCGCGCGAGGCGCGCACGCCGCGCAGCATGACGCGCCAGCAGCAGCAGTGCGACTTGGACGAGAGCATCAAGCTGCTGCACGACAAGCACGAGGCGCTCGAGATTTGGAGCCAGGAGCTCAAGTGCGGCGGGTCGGCGGCGGGTAGGGACGGGAGTAGGAGTCGGAGCGGGAGTCGGACGAGGGGGGGTGTGGAGAGCGGGCCGGAGTGAGGGTGGGGAATGGGGGGATGTTGGGTTGAGGGATTTGTTTGTTTGCGCAGTGAGGTACGTTGGTTCTCGTGATGGGGGTGAAGGGAGAAGCTTGGGCTCCGCGCGAGGGGAGGTGGCTGGGGTTGATCGGTGCTTGTTGGTTGTTTTCTTTTTTTGTGATGATGGACACGGTCAGCTGACGAGGTGCACACGGATGGACAGGCTGGCACGATCACTGTTTTCCTTTTTTTGAGGGCAAGGAAAGAAGGGAGCCAAGCTATCGAACGCACGCACGCACGCACGCACGCACGCGCTTCTTCTTCTCGGCCCCGAAACTGCTCCGGCATGATGCAGGACACATGCCGGTCCCGGTCTGGTCTGTGGGGAAGAAGGCCGACGGAAACAACACCTTTCTCGAGATATCATGCGCGACCGCGCGCGGACGGACCACCACGTACACCACGGCGAGTACGGAACAGTCTCTGATTCAGATCAGATTGCCAATGGCCGAACGGGCAATACGAAGGCGATGGATGTGGGCCATCCGAGAGGGTCATTTGCGCAACATTTCGAGATTCGATTTAAAAGCTGGGCTGGACTATGTCCAGTTTGTGGGCCTATGGAGTTTACTGGCAGGATGGAGCTGGGGGCGTGTTTTTGAGAGTGAGGCGTAGTGGATTTTGTTTCTTTTTCTCTTCCTTCTCGGCAACATGCTTTGCCTGCACAACCAAGTTTTTCCAAATCCTGGTGTTGAAAGGACATGTTTTGGGCTGCGGGTTTTTCTTCTTGCGCTGGTACAGGTTCTCCATCACTTTCTTCATTTTTCACTTCGACCATATACCCCTCGTTACTGCGTCTCGAGACCTTTGAAATCCTCAACTTGTCATATCAGTTGCACCACAGTACATGTGTGTGATGCCATCGATGTTTTCTCCCTTTCCTTGTCCTTGTCCTGTAACCGCTCTGCCTTTCTATTGGGTGGTTTTGATTCTCTGTACGTGTCGCAACTGCCCAGAGACCATGGTATCCTCCAACGTCGTATCGACTTTCCATGATGGCAGCAGGGCTTTACAATCACTTCCTATCGACACAGGCCCTGGCACTCGCTTTCATCATCCAGACATCCAGAAAGGTCTCGATGTCAGTCCGCACTTCGTCGTCGATCATGAGTTTCGCGGTACCCCGGGCCAGGTCCTTAACCAACACCTCGAACAGCCATGTGACTCTCAAGGTTGGCTTCTTGCCTACTGGAGTTTCAAACAACTCGGTGGCATGGACCACCAACGTTTGGAAGATTCTTCTGTGCGTTTCCAGGTGTCTATGCCATCTGTTGTAATCCAGCTCCATTGCTGTATCGTCCCAGAAGTCTCCAAGTTGGTCGAGAGAGACTCTGACATCGCAGCTTGGCACCTCGGCCCTGTACGAACGGAGAGCATGTTCGTTATGGGCTTTGGGACTCTGTCGACAGCACGGACATGATAAGTTGATGCTTTGGCTGTGCAGTGCGACGAGCAGGCACTTTCGCCCGATTATGTGGCCGCAGGAGAGCTTACTGGGATCCGGACATGTGTCTTTGCTGTCGTCGATCGAGCCGCTGAATTTCTCCCAGCAAACGGGGCAGACGTCCAGCCCAACACTCTTCACTTCCTCCTCGGTTGCTGGTCGAAGGAAGCGAGAAAGATAGCAGTGAGAAGCCATGTTGAGTGCGAAGGTAGATAGATGTGTCGGAAAAGATTGGTTTGAAATGTTAATTGGCGAAAAACGGCGGGAAAACGTTTATGTACTCCTGGGGATATGACTCCCAGCTACTTGGATACAGACTGTCTCGATGAGTTAACTAGCGCAGTCCTTGTTCCGCAGCACCCAACTCCAAGAAAAGCTTTTCTGTTGACGAAATACTCCCTCTTTCAGGTATTTCCAGACTCGATAAACAACAGCAGTAATCTACAGAAACCTTCAGACTCGTCACTCCGATGATTCAGGACAACTCGCAGCCTCAGTAGTTCAAGGCGTCGAATTCACCTTCCACAAACGCACAATTGTATCTGGCGATGCCTACAAACCCGACTCCCCCGCCCTAGAACTTTTCTCGCCCCTACCCGGAGTTTGACTCCGCAACATCTGGTAACTTTCTAACTGTACTTGGGTTAGCGTCACAGCACGAGTTGTTCTTTAGATAGCGGTAATTGGGCAAGTATCCTTGCTTCTCCAACACTGGTGCGGATGTTCGTTTCGGCATCAAGCCCATGTAGAGTAACCAAAATGCGCAAACTTGCCTAAGCCTTTCCAAAGAGCCAATAAAAATTTCCAGCATGTCCATGACCACACTTGTCAATATTGCTAATGAATTACCGCCTCCAAACAACGTATGAGATGAGGCTCTCCAGCACATCAATGACGGTACGTTTCTTCCACGCTCGGCGACATATAGGGCATTTGTGGAAATCCTTCCCCTGCTCAGCTATTACCTCTAGGCAGTTGCGACCGAATACATGCCCACACCGGAGTTTGCAGGGGAGTTCGCCGACAGTACCCGCGCCACCACAGCTCTTGTCGTTTTGAGCTTCTTCGGGCCCACGGAAGTTCTGCATGCATATGAGACAGCATTCAGTGTCGAATCTCGCCAGATCCTCTATAGTGGCAGGGGTATAATGGCTGGTGTCTAGAACTATCGCCTTGTACAACATATTGAGCGTTGACTCCAAGGAAGAGAAGAATGTTACTCATTTCCGGGCATTTGGATGTGGTGGTGTGATAGTATCTGGGTGGAGTTGGGCAGTCTGAAGGTTGGTTTAGGACGAAACTTCGTGGAAAGTCTTCTTCATGAAAGAAATTGTATAATAGTGTCAAGTCTGCAGCCGTGTGCGAAAAGACCTGTCTTCATACATATGTGTAAACATGCGTAGCCGAGTCCGGTTTTGGACCGGGGTTAAAACACTCAACCAGGGTTTTGACATTCAACCACATCATCAACCACTTCAACCTGACCAGCCAGCTACGCCAGTCCCTTTCGGAAACTCGCAAGGAACTTTGCTCAGGACTTCCGTCCCCAACATCGCCCCTCTTCTGCCCTTGAGAATAAGAAATTTGAAGTCTGAGCATCACGCTGTCGCCACATCGCCTTCCAAGCGCCAGTGTACAGCATGAGATGCCACGGTGTAACGCCGCCGCCCTTCATGCGCGACACTGATAACAAGAGCCCTTATGCAAGCTGGGAAGGGAACACCTTTAGGAGGTCTGTGCTCGTTCCGACGTTCGAGGCGCGTGGTCTCGGTTGATGCCAACCAGCTCAGCAGTCTCAATCGAATCTATACGATATGTCAACCGATAACCCGTCTTGCCCACAATAAGAGCAACACCTGTGTGTCAAATGCAACCCAAGGAGTCATATGCCTGCTGTATGGCTGGCGGACCCGTATTGACGCAGCAACAACAACAACACGCAAGCGGCCCCTTTGCTTCCACCAGAAGATGCCGAGAGGCATCAGCCCAACGATGATTCCAACCACCGCACCTATTGCTTCAATTGCCCAAGTATAGTTGTTGTCAGTTTTGAGAGCTGGAATGACGGCCGGCAAGATGGGCAATCGGCCTCTGTGCCACTGGTTCACCGCGGATAAAGAAATTCGAACTGACTTACAGTGTGCTGGCTTGGACATGTCGAACATACCAGCTTTTGTAATCAAGCAAGAAGGGGATGTTATGAAGGAAAAGAAAATCTGGAGTCTTCACTAGCAACATTTTTTCTTCTCTTTTCCAGACAGTCCGGATATTGGTGGGTGTTTATGCAGCGTTGCGTGTTAGGGCAAAAGCGGCCAAGGTAAAAATGGCAGCAGACTGGGGGTGTTTTCGAACTTTTCACGTTGATGATAAGGCTGGAGGTTGGCACGCTTAAGATTGGCTCCTTTGCTAATCTTAACAGATGTGATATGCCTATTTGGTGAGGGTGAAGTATGGGTGAATTTCCTCATTCCCATGCGCGTCAGCACTCAGCAGCAAAGGGGACGAGGAATAAGGCAAACGGGGATGCAAGTATGATATGACAGCACTGAGGTTTTACGAACAGACGCTCCCAAAACGTCATCGCATCAGATGCTACCTACTACGTGCTCGGGGGATCACGAGTCCATCGAAAACCTCTCGTGCAACTTGCAAGTCCCACGCACGCCGCAAATATTCCTTGTGAGTGGGATCATCGCATAAGATGAAGCAGGTGCATGGTCAGTCTAATGCTTTGGAGTACTGTCAAATGGCTATCGAGTTGCTGAGACACTTATCTGCCTGACTCTGAACAGCCGACAACGAATCGATGGCTCGCCATCCCATTTCCCTCCGCGAATGTGCAGGTGCTGCGCTGACCGGTGAAATATTACTCCAACCTCATTGGGCTCTCAGTACCCTACGTATGCTGGCGTGGATATTAATAATTCTGAAAACTTGTTTAGCTTCACGGTCATGTGCTATGACGTTCCGAGCGGAGGACTGGCCTACTGAATTCATCCGTCAAACAGCATTGAACTGGAAGAAAGTCGCTCGGGCCGCGAGGCTTCAGCGGCCGATCTACGCATACCGGCGCCGTTCCGAACGGTCCCACCTTTCAAATGCCAGCCTTTTCTCCTCTTCTGACTTCCAACGCCGCTCGATAGTCTGAGCCTGGTCCATATCGAATAGCGTACCAAAGCTCATTTCCGTCACGGTAAAGTTGAACCTGCTCAATGTCAGCCAGGTAGGTCCAAAAAGCCTCCCCACCCATCTCCCCTTCGTCAGCATTTATCAAGCGACTCACCATGCCTCATGAAACTCCTGCTCCAAGACGTTGGTTCGTGAGACCACGATGCATTCCCTGTACATTTCGAGCCTCTTCTGATACTTCGTCTCCTCATCCAGCGACTCGTCGTTCTCCATCGCAATCAGCTCTTCCTCTTCATCCTCGCCCAACGACCTCATGTACCTGGAAACCGAATAGTCAGCCGTTAGCCTGTTCCTGGAAAAGAGAAGGGGGAAGAGATGAAAAAAAAAAACCCCCCCACATCGAATACAGCACCTCCTTCGACCTGAACGCCTCCCTATCCACAAAAATGCAATACTTTTGCCTTCCCCTCAACAAACAGCCCCCAACCTCCCAGCACTGCACCGCCAACATCAACGCATCATCCATCCCGCCATCCTCCTCACCCTCCCACTCCACAAACGCATACGGGCCAGCCTCCACGCCCGCAACCTCAACATTAAACACCTCCCTCTGCATCAACTTCACCATGCCCTCGACCCCGCCCTCCTCGCCCTCCGCCTTCGTCAAGAAAAAGCACGGATGCGTTTCGCTCAAGCCGTGATCGTCCGCAAACTCCCACGGCGGCGGGTCGACGAAGAAGCGCGCGTCGGGGCCGAGCAGGCACTCGACACGGTCGGTGGCGGGGAAGACCGGGCTGCTCTCATGCCCTTCTTTTCTCCGCCTCGCGAGCAAGTCCATGCGGGAGACAGAATAGAAGCCGTGGGCGCGCGGGCTGACCACGACGGGCCACAAGCGGGGCACGTCGCCTGCGCGCAAGCCGACGCGGCTGACGAGCGAGGGGCTGCGGGTGTCCTGCCATTGGGCCAGGACGACGGGGATATCGTCGTCTTCGTCGCCACCGTCGCTTTCCGCCGCAGCGGCGGGATCGGCATCCAAGAACAAGGCCACGGTCCGCGCCGGCCGCTCGTTGTACCGCATGATCCGCTGCCACAGGCGCCAGAAGTCGCGGCGGGAAGCGGGCAGTCCGCCGCCGCCATCGACCTCGCGCGGCCTCCAGGGGTAAATCACCGCCTTCGTCGCCATTTGGAACTTCTTCTTCTTCTTCTTCTTCTTCTTCTTCCCGTCGTTCTTCACGGCGCTACCGACTCCCTTGTCAGCGGTAGCAGCACCAGCAGCACCAGCAGCAGCAGCAGCAGCGAGCTTGTCGTTCAAAACCCTCGTCGCGGCCTCCACATCGCGCAGCGCCACCAACGCATGGAACTCTAGCACCTTGGGGTCGTTCATCACGAACGTCGGCGCCGCCGTAAGGTCCTCCAGCGGCTCCGGCGCCGCGAGCTCCTCCTTGACGGCATCGGCCAGTTCGAGCGGGAGGGCGGGGGGGCGGCGGCGGCCCGAGGGCGGAGCGGCGGCGGTGGCGGCGACGACGCCGAGGGCCTGGTCGACGGCTCTGTCGCGGGCGCGGCGCGCGCGGACGGCGGCGGCCGAGCCGAAGAGCGGCAGGGACCAGTCGTGCAGGACGCAGCCGAGGCCGTCGTACAGGCGGCGGTGGTTGACGCCGACCAGCGGGTGGAGGGCTTCGAAGGGGCTGGCGGTGCGGTTGACGGTGATGGGTTGTTGATCGTGTTGGTGCTGCTGTGTGAGGATGCGGATGGCTTGGGCGAGGGGGAAGCGCTTCGCGGCCGCTTCGGGCGTGCTGTCGTCGTCTTCGTTGCTGGCCGTCTTCTCCAGGATGATCATGGAGCACTCTGGTCTCTCGCCGGGGCGCCTCTGGCCGCAGAGGAGGCGGTAGGTGAGGTTGTCGACGGCGCCGATTCTCGTCCATCCTTTTGTTCTTGCCTTGGAGGCCGCGATGAAGAGCTCGGATGTCGAGCCTGTGGGGTGTCAGTCTGGACGGTGGGATGCCGAACGGGTGACGGACCTTCGATTTTGGCCTTCTCAAGGCGCTTTTGCCTGCTGCAATCCACGACCGACACGATCTTGGGGTCAGCCGTGTTTCTCGTCTTCGGAGTCAGGCATTCTTCAAGAGCCTCGTTCAATTTCTGTCGCCCATCCGCCGCTGTGGGTAAGCACAAGCACACGATTAGAGCGGCGCCGGGCTCATGGTGCGGAAGGTTTGGGAGGCAAGACATAGTTCTAGTACTGCGTCTGATTAGCTTGATAACGTGGGGTCCGCGGCGCTGGAGTAGATATATCAAGTGCTGCAAGCAAGCAGCAGGGGCGGCATTGTGGAGTCTTATAAGGAATCGATTGGCCGAGGTGATGTAGCTGGCTTGTTGGTGCCTGGTCGTGCTTTCCGTAAGTGGGCTGGTTGGCTGCCTGAGTCGATTACGTCATCCCTGCTTACCTTTCCGTGCACAACACCATCTTAGATCTAGTTGGATGGGCATAAAAATAAATCTAATGGTAATCCGAGTGTGGTGGTGATACCGGTCTACACCTGGCATTATCACCTGACCGCACTTGCCTATATACCCTACTACCTATGCGTACATAGCATAAACAAGGAATCTTCTCTCTTTCTTCCTCACCGTCTTGTCTTTGTGTAGTGACCTCACCTCCCAGCATACTGCTAAACAACCCATCGTTCCACCCACACTAGCACCGCTTTTCTACGCTTCTATTCGCCGGCGGTTACCTGGTTTGGCTTCAGGCACGAGAGGCCGAGCTTGCTCTCAGCGCTAGCAACACCAGCATTCTTCAGCCACACGAAATTAATGGCTCATCCCGTCTCTCCGTTTCTACCTGACTACCTATTCCCGTCGCCTGTAGCATCACAGCTACGTTCGCACCCACCACCCACCCACCAATGAGTTTCATCTACAGTGCCCTTTCGTACGTCCCTACCACACGAGCTGCAATCTTCAAGCCAAGAGGAAATCTAGGATATGCCTCCACCCCAAAAACGAGCGATCTTACATGCAAGAACGAAAGAATAATCAAACGAGGCAGTAACAGAGATGCCGTCGAAAGATGAAGCCAGCGGGAGCAGAATCGTCAAAATCAACAAACCCCCATAGGTAGTAACCCGATCCGTGAGCAAACAAAAACACCCAAGAACACCCGTACGCTTTCCAAAGACCAAACCATCCCACCCCCATTGCCCGAACCCCCAAATATAAGTGAATGGAACCAGGAAAGGGAAGAAAAAAAAAGAAGAGAAGAGAAAATAAAACGTTTACTCCAAACATGATCCGGTGTATCATCATCCATCATGATCATGTCGCTCAATCTATACCGCTGGAGAAGTGACGAAGGGGAAAAAAAGAAAAAGAAAGAGAAGATTCAAAGTTCGCCTCCTTGCAAACCAAAACCACATGAACGCGGAGAAAAGAAGAAGAAGAACAGGCTTTCAACTCCGACCAAGATTTCAGCTTCGATTCCTCAGCTCGATTTCCTTGATCAGGTCCTTGACACTGCCGCCACCCTCGCTCCGGACCGACGTCTTACTCTTGCTCCTTTCCCCAAGCCCCGGCCTCTCCAACGGCTGCCTGTTCGCCGGCGGCGTGAGCAGACCTCGGCCACGACTGCGACTCCTTGTTCTCTCCCGCTCTTTTCGCAACTCGCGCAAGTTCTTCTCGCTCGGTCGCCCGCGCATCGGCCCCGGCGTTGGGGTTTCGGGCGCCGTGATGGTCGTGCCGAGCGTCGAGCTGCTGCTCACTTGCGGGTTGGCGCCGTAAGGGGAGATCAGGGACGCCGCCGTGTTGTTCGACGTGACGCCGCTTGACTTGGAGAGCTGAGAGAGCGACGGCGGAGGAATCAACTGCTCTTCGTCCTCGCTGTCGGGCGGCGGGAAGGCGGGCGACACCGGCGGAGGCTTGTGGAGTGGTTGAAGATCCGGGAGGGATCCAGGGCGTTGCATGTCTGGTGGCGGCGAGGATGAGGTCACCCTGGCTTGATGGGGGCGAAGTCGGGGTGGGGGTGCGAGTTTCAGAGGCGGCTGCAGCGTCGCCTTTGCCTTGCCTTTGGCTGTGGGCGTTCGGTCATGGTCCGAAATCAGATCCTCAGCCGCAGCGATTGCCGCGGGTGAGCTCGAGATGGACTCGTCGTCGGTGCCGAGACGCTCGACGCGCTGCTTCCCCTTGCTTCCGCTCGGGACACGCGAACTTCTTGCCTCGTCCGACGTCTCGCCGCTACCCAACTCTGAGTCGACGTTGACTACCCGAAGTGGCTGCCTTGGAACTGTGAACATGACTTGGACTACACGCCCCTCGGCGGCGGCTTCCACATCCCAATCTTCACCTTCGCCGTATGCGCCATCAAGGCTTTCCCTGCCCTGCCCGGGGTCAGGTGTTGCAACGGCCCAGTCCCCTTCATCGCGCTTGTCCGGTGGCCACATTGGCGACGCTGGGTCGTCCGTCCAAGCTTTGGAGCCGCGCTTGGATTTCCAAAAGGACGCATCGCTGTTTGCGCGGCGAGGTGGATTGGGATTGTCGCCTCCCGTGGACGGGCGGCTGCCGCTGGTCGATTCTCCAATCCCGACGCCAGAACCCGATCTCCGGTGTCGTCTGAGTTTGGTTGGGCTGTTCGTTCCACTGTTGCGGTTACCTGCTCCACCATTACCGAACCAGCCTGACCCATCATCTTCATTTGTATGACGCCGACGCCGATGGATGCTGGAGGTGAGTGATTGGGCTCGGTCATGGGAGTTGCTATGGCGGTGGCTAGATGAGGGCCGGCGTGCGAGAGCAAGTCGGACCGAGCCTCGAATCCAGGATTTGCTGCGATCTTGTGTAGCGAAGGAGTTGTCAACTGGTGTTGACAGGTCCAGAGTATCGGAAGAAGCGGCGTGAGTGAGCCTGCGGAGCGTCTCCGGGTCCTGACGCAAAGGTGTCACGTTATGATTGTCCTCTTTGGATTGTTCGAATAAGGCTTCGGGGTAGAAATCGATCGGCGTGTGGACCTGGTTCGGGGATTCTTTATCTGAGCTGGGGCTGGACGGGTAATGAGACGGCCCGGGAAGATCATCCACGTCCTGTGGTCGGCCGCCGAGCAGTGCCTCTCCTTCGGCTTGCAGTTTGGCAAAAGATGACTTTGCAGTTTTAAAGGAATCATCATCCGCGTTCGTGCGTGGACCGTTCCCGATGCTCTCGCCCGAACGCTGATTTGCCAGACTTTGCCCGGGAGGAATTTGTATTGATAATTGATGGCGTTCCCTGACTGGGCTGGCATTAGGAGTAGTGAAGGGATTTGCGAACGTTGCCATGATAGCCGCCGACGCATTAGAAAGCGTCCGAGCTACGCTTGCTGCACCCGAGCGTGCGGATATCATCGAGAGAGCGGATCTTGCGCTCTGGTCGCTGAGATTGGACTCGGTACGCTCAGAAGATTCTGGATTAGAGCGTCCCGAGCTTGATCCACCGTTAGCAACCAGCTCCCAGTTCGGCGAAGCAGACCGCACATCTGCTATTCTCGCTTGCGCCAACGACATGGGTCCGGGTTGAATGACTGGCTGCTTCCCGCTAGATTTGAGACTTGTTGGGAAATGGACCACGTTCTGCGGCAGGGGAACAGGGTGACTCCTGAGCGGATCGGGGTCAAGAAAAGGATCCTGGCCAGGGGTAGGGGTGTACGAAGCCGACGAAAGGGTGGAGAATCGATCCTCTGCTTTGCGAGGCCGCTCACTCATTTCGGGCATGCCAGTACGCTCGTTGGTGACAGACTCGACCTCATCCTCTTCATCGATCGGGTGAATGCCGCCTGAGCCCTGGTTCATGCGGCTCTCGTCGTAGCGTGGCGCTTGGTGGTATGCCCGTCCGTTGAGACTGCGGCGCAGGCCACGAGTGGGACTGGGGATTTCGACGAGTAAGCCAGTCCTCTCAGCCTCTTGAGATTGTTGGTTTTTCCATCCTTGATGGCTGTTCAGAAACCACGGGTCAACAGCAAGCGCCGCAGCCTCACGGTCATTGAGGTAGTCTGCGTAATTCCCTCCGTTGTCATACGACTCATTGCCTTGGAAGCCGTGGCCACCGCGGGAAAGATCTCTTTCGACCTGCTTTTCCCGAATTTCCCGCTTCTTGCGGAGGTAGCGCTTGTACCAGAAGTAAAAGACCGTCATGGCAAGAACAGCAGCCAACCCGATTCCCAAACCAGCACCCAGACCCGCTTTGGATGGGGATGAATCCGAAGATGAGTCGTCCGATGATTCCGAGTTCGGTTGATACTCGGATAACCAGGTGTTTGAGGTGACGTTGAAGAAGAAGCTTTGGGTGTTTTGAGCTAGATCAGCGCGGGATCTCAGTCGAGAAGAGCCCGAGGAGATGGAGTAGCCGCCAGCAACCATCATGACATCTCCGGAAAGCATGACAGCACCGTGACCGTATATTCCACCTCCGTTCGTGAGCCCAGACCCGGTTGTTGTGGGAATCGTCCACTGCCAGGATCCATCCCCACCATAGCCTTCACCGACGTTAAGTATCGCCAGCTGCGGGTCAGCTGGGGTATCGATGTCGCCAACCCAACCGCCAAAAACAATGATTTTGGATCCGTCTGCAGTCAAGAGCGCTGTGTGGCCCGAACGGGGTTCCACCTCGGTGGCCTGGTCCCGTCTGACCAGATCGGTGTGCTCCTGCGTAGGCTGGTCGACACCAAGGTAGGTCCAGGTTTCCTGCGGCAGCGAATAAAGAGCGACCTGGGACATGTTGATGTAGGCGGTTTGCGTGTGTCCTCCGATCAGGACGAAGTTTTGCTGTTGGTCCCGCGAGCCTTGATCCCCACTGGAGTAGGTTGGGGGCAAACCTACTAATGCGAAGCCTGCCTCGGCCACGGGTGGACCGCGGGTTGGCGCAACGTTCAGAGAGTATTGCGTGGCGGAGTCGGGGGCCAGTTGAAGCATGGTGTTGGAGTAGTTAGCGGAGCCCTGCCATTCATCCTGCGTCGCGGCAGCGTAAGGACACATGCCGCCAAAGACGAACAAGCTGCTGTTGGATCCATCTTCCGAGCTCGAGAAGGACAGGCCGCCGGCGAGGAAACTCGGGGCAAGTAGCTTAGTAGTGCCGACATCACCGAGCACGATGTCTGCCTGTGACCAGGTACCGTTCCCGTCTTCTGCACCACCATCTATTTCGAAGGTCCAGGTCTTTGCATCTTGCGCCGTGTCGGTGCATGCGCCGGCGTAGACGGTAAAATTCCCATCGGCTTCCACGACGGGTATATACGGAGTGGCATCGGCGGCAGAGGACCACGGGAGCGTAGAGTAGAGGGTGTTGTAGTTGAGGGTCGCGGGATCGAGCGAGGCAGTGACATCGAGGGAGCGCAGCTGGGCCTGGTTGGGGGCGCTCGGGGCAGGACCAAAGACATAGACCAGGCCGTCGTGCTTGGAGGAGCGGAAGACTCTGGTGGGATGGTAGGGCAGCTGGGCGTGGACGGAATGGGCCAGCAGCAGGAGGACCAGGGCGAGAGAATGGTCCATTGCCCTGGGATGCGCGGTGGTGGTTGGCGCGTCGCGTCTTGTAGGCGGAAGCGATGCGTCTAGCAGGACATGGCAGCGGGACTGGAGTAGCAGTCAGGCCGTGCGCAGGCTGATATCATGCGCGGGGAGAGCGTGCAGCGGTCTCGAACTTTTGGAACTCTCTCGGGCGAAAGCAGTCTTGGACGGGGCGATCTTGCGGAGGGCATGCGGTGGAGCGCGTCACGATTTGGTAGATGGAAAGTAAGAGGCTGGGAGCTGGGGCGCGGCCGGCGGATGGGCCGCTGTAAACACATGCAACCAGCCTCGCGGGTGGCTCATTGCGCAAGTAGGCCCAGCAGGCCGCGGTGCTTTTCTGCAGCGTCTAGATCCACGTGCAGCTGGCGCTGGCTCGTTGCGGCCAATGGAATGGGGCCAGAGCGGATGCACGACATGGACCGACCCTGGCGTTGGCGTTGACTGGCATCCGCGAGTAGTCCGGGCAACGCGGGCTGCGTGGCTGGTTGCGGCTGGGCGCGCCTGACAGAGCGCAGCCCGCGCACCCCACGCCCCCGCCAGGCTGCCAGGCTGCGGCGCCATGGAGAGGCCTGTGCTGCTGCACCATGGCGGCGTGCTGCCGTGCATGATGCGCGACGGCGGAGCCCCCGGAGCCCTCGGTCCACGGGCGCTTGCTGGGGCGCTTGCTGGGGCGCCGGCGCAGGCAGCGGACGCGCTGCAGGCTTGCGCGAGTTCGCGTCGCGTCGCGGGGCTGTTGATCCGCCTGTGACCAGCCGGCAGATCGCTCGAGTCAGTGTCAGCCGGGCAGGGTCTATTCCAACTTCAACGCTTCAGCTGCCCACCTCCGACAACTCAACTCCACCGCAATCGCTCCGTACTCGCTTCGCCCAGCCCAACGCCCTGGCAACCCGGGCCTGACAGCTAAGCCTGACTGCCGGCCTCCGGCTCCCGCCGCGTCTCCGTCTGCCCTCTACGTGTTCGCCCAGCAATCTGCCGTCGCCAGGCATTCCTGGCCCGCCCACGAGGCTCCGACGTCACTTAGATTGCACTCACTTAACCATCGAAAAATTTTCCGGGCGAAGGCACAAGGCAGCCCGACTGCGGCGCCCTGTGGCTGCATGACGTCGCGAGTGTCAGGACGACAAACACTCGGTGCCAGCAAATCAAGCTGTTATCAATTTTTTCGCACCGGCGTCGCTTATGAGACACGTTTATCCTGCTATACCTTAGCGGACCAATTAATGCCCTCCGCCTGCTTGGAATCCCCATCGCCACGACTCGCGGCCAACGTTATGGCGTACCATCCCATGACTTATTTCAGCTCCATCACTCCCGGCAACGTCCGGATCAGCTTCCGAAGTGCGCTTTCCGCCCGTTGTGACTGCGCTTCCGCTTTCGCCTAATAATAATAATCCTCGCCTCCGCCACGGCGTGTACCGCCTAAATTCGGCGTTGCGCAATAATCCACCTCTCTTAAAAGACTCACCTGCGTCGAAACATGATTTGCCTGCCTGCTGGACACGCTTTCTAAAACGTTCTCTCGTGTACGCATTCAGCCAAGTCATGCCGTCTCGTTGTGTGAGTAAACACCTGCGAGAGGACCCGCATTCCTCGCGTCAGCCACGCGCTGCGAGAGGAACGTGCACACTATCACATCTCGTTTTCTCGCTCTGGTGATCTGACAACTGGCGACCGACTTGAATTTCTGGGCCACTTTCAAATCGGATCAACCCTTTTGACGAGCTGTAGAAAAGGAAACGAAACCAGCCATGAACATCCGCTTCAAATCAAGTAAAGCGAGAGCTCATGACAACGCTGACTTCATTGTCTATAGGAAAGGCCAAATATGGTCTTGAACTTTACAGTGCAAACATCACACTTGCGACACTGTCAAGCATCGCAACAACAATGATCATCGAGACTTGACTTGACTCGTGGGTTAAGTTGAAAACATCATATTAATTCAATGTGCCTAATCATACCTGAAACCAGTAGGCCTTCAACCCAGTTCGTGAAAAACGAAAGAATACAACATGGTCGTGAAACAAACATAAATCGTTGATGGAAAAAAAAAGAGTCCCCTTTGCGACCTCCGGAGAAGAAGCATCGCCAGCCAGCACCAAAACCCTTAAGCCGACGCGGCCACATTGAGATCAACCCCCAGCTCCGCCGCGAACTTGTTCAAGAACGCGCTCACACTGGCATTCAACGCCGCACCCACCGTCACCAGCTGCGGCTGCGTCGACGCCCCCGCCCCGCGCTTCGAGGCGACCGACTTCGACCCGTCGTCCTGGTTCGCGAGGCTCGACGCCCCCGTGCCCGCGATCGCGTTCAGGTCCAGCACGCCGTCCTTGACCTGCGCCTTGGTGCCCAGCGCCGCCTTGACCTTCTCGGTCCCCTGCTTGTCGTCGGCGACGGCCACGCCCTTGAGGTCCGTGAGCCGCGTGTTCGGGTCGGCGACCGCATGAGCGCCGTTGTGCTGGTGCTGGTCGCCGCGGCGGGCGACGTTGACGTTCGCGGAAGCGTCCGCCTTGATCTTGAGGGCGAGGTCGGCGGCCGCGGATTCCATGGCCGCTTGGACTTGGGCAGCGACGTCTGCGTTCACGGCTGTGGTGGCGTCGAGGGTGGCGGTGGCGCCGGCGCTGGGGGCCGGGAGGGCGGAGATGGTGGCGGTGAGGGTGGCGAGGGTGGGGAGGATGTAGGCGGTGCGCATGGTGGCGGTGGTTTTTGTTGGTGGAGGGAAGGTCCTGGGTGGATGTGGAGATTTTTTTGGTTTGAGGGTGGTTGGTGAGAGGCCGGTTGGACTTGGCTTTCTCTGGTTTGAGATTGGGGGATGTTCCTGAGAGGGGGAACGTGTGTTTGTTGGAGTGGAAGAGAGAAGATGGGATGAGGAGCTGTGGTGTTCTGGTTGAGAGAAGAGGTGCGTTCGTCCATCTTTATATGAATATCTTTGACAAGAGGCCCAGAGGTAGGGAGGAGCACAGCCCGCTATCCCAAGGCTCTCTTACTCGCACCAAGTGTTCCCGCACATCTGGCCCGTTTGCCTCGTGCCCACCAGAGGAACAAGCCTTGGTGCTGGGTCTGTAGGGATGCACCGTCCCATGACGCTGTCGGCTCTTTCTCCAATTGGAAGAAGTCGGAGAGGTACTTCCGCATCAGGTAAAGAGACGCCCCTGTCCTCCCGATCGGGGCAAGATGATTTCCGGCTATCCCAGACTGCAAAGAGAGCCAGACCTAGACTGCTGCGGCTGTGGCTGCAAGCAGCGAGTTGAAGTCTGGAAGGACCCTCTTTGCTATCATTAGAGCCCAAATGAGGGGTACAGCCCCTGAAGAGGGTCTCTTTGCCCTGGATGTATCCATCGCTCTGGATACAACTGCTCGGTACCAGGGGCGAGTATCCCTAATGCTTGGAAATTGGAAGCGTGGTGCCGATGCAGAAGATCTGGCCAACATCCTTCTAGAACTGTAGAGGCTTTTTCTAGAGCTTCTACCCCCCTGTTATTGGGAACACGGCAGTGAAAGGGGTATCCCTTGTTGGCACGGATTCGACACAAGCCATTGTCTCCAAGGCATTCGCAACACACTACTATTGGATGTTCCCTTCTCACACGGCTTGCTCTTCGCCTTCTCCGTGCTGGACTGCCGATAAAAATTGCCCGTCCGACCACAGTAGGCTTCAATCAACCGGACAGTTTATCGAAAATCTGCGGGCCTACAGACACTAGACCAGTATGGAAACTACCAGCAGCCGTGATTCGCGGACAAACATGATTGATCATCTTTGTCCGAGGAGACGTAGAAACTGTCACACAATGTGTCGGCACAAAGAGACCCTGACCCTTGGCTTGGCTTTGGAAGTCCGGCGCGGAGCAATCTCCATGTCCCGCCAGGAGAATATCTGCCAAGTAACAACCTCCTCCCGCCCTTGCTTCTGTGCGTCATCCATGTGGCGAACTGAAGGAGTTTCCCGCGCCGGCCTTGTTGTATGTGGCCGTTTGCGGCGAAGCGAGCGTTCTTTCCTTGGCTCACGGTAACCGAGTCTGGGTGGCGGTGAATTATGGTGTATTTGATTTACAAAATGTAATAATTGAAGTGGGGGAGGGCCGCAGAAATTGAGGGCGTCATTGCCTTGGTGGAGGCTGGTGAAACTGGGGTTGCAATGATGCTTCGATGGACTTTGCAATCCTCAACCTATCTTTGAAATGAGCGCATCAATTCTCAAAATGAACTGGTCATAATGGGAGTTGGCGGGCTCGTTAATTAGTGGAAATGGCTTACGTACAGTCTATCTCACGTTGGCAGTGGGATTCTATATTTGTATGCACTTGTATAGTTCAATACTTGTACGTCTTGGTATCTGCTCTAACTACTCATCCAAGAAGTTTGTTCATACTTGTATCTATATCTGGATATCTGCTTGAAGTGCTCATCGAATGGTTCTCTGCAGGTGAACCTCTTGCTGAACATACTGCGGCTTAGATTGGTGCTACAAACGTTAACCTGGAACCTATGGGAAACTATATCAAATCTTCAATCCGGTCACGCGCTACCATCACTACTCAAGTGTTCCATACCAAAGCTGATATCATCGAAGCCGTCTAATTATTGTTTAGCCTGACAAGCCTTCCCCCCACCAAACAATCCGCGAGCCTCATGCACACCCCTGCGGACCACATCCTCCAGATCCTTCGCCTCATTCGCTCTTCCATGACCGCATTGTGCAGAGACGCAAGAGCATTTCCCATTACCAAGCCGCTTTTTCCTTCCTCGAGAGACGTCCCCGCTCGTGCCATAGCGTTTTCCGCTGGCTATGTTCCAGCCACTTCTCCTGGCACCCCCTAAGCTTGTTTTCACCGTCGTCATGATTGTCCCAATATCTTCGTCATGTGGAGGACCGTTCTGCTTCTGAACCCACACTCGCTCCAAGTCGTCCCCCTCAGCCTTTATTGAGCCTTCCAAACTGTCTTCCTCCCTTCACATGCTCTCTCCACCTGTATATCATCGTCGTCTTGGTGATCATCGTCATCACGCCAACCAAGCCTCAGGCTGCTGCCCGCATGGATGCCGCTGACGACAGTGGCTTTTGATCTTACAGGCGCCGCTGATCTAGCGTTAACCTAAGCTACGGGACGGCCCTCCTGTAGGATTAGTGTCCCCATGACTTTGGAGACTTAGCCCCCATCCGATGTTTCTATAAGTAAATCTTGCTGTCAATCCGAGGAGATCGCTCTTTTGAAGAGGCAATGTCTGGACGCATGAAGACAATAGCAATTGCCTACAAAGAGCCGAGCAAGACCGAGTATGCGAATGTAATTGATATTTTCCGTAGGGGTTGACGACTGTCCAAAAAGCTTCAGGATTGACATCAATAGGAGCGCTCTGATCACCAGCCGCATCGTAACAATAGCACATGGATGGTCATCGAGCGCATACCTGTTGAGAAGTGATAAATTTGTCAGGACAAATTGAACATAATGTTTCCAGCGATGAGGGAGCCCATGAAGCGGCCAACATATCTAACGCTAACCGAACGAGGGTAATTCACGTGATTGTCACATCAATAGCTACTTTTTCTCGTCAGAATTTCTTTTTTCACATACCCAATATCAAGCATTAAAGTCCTACGGTATCTCTAAACGATCAGGCCATCCAAAACCTAGAGATCAAGACTGAAAGAGTGCTACAACCGCGCCTTGGGGAAGCCACGAGACTTCGACCACTTGGCGTAGGGGTGATCGAGCGTCGAGGGTATCAGATGGTCTACTTCCAGCGTGTTTACCAATCCCGGATGCACCTGGCTGAGGTCCGTGATGCCGATCAACTTCATCGACGTCTCCAGCTCATCCCTCATCACTGTTGTTTCATCCGTCAGCAACCTCGTCCAGAAAGCACAAGTCCAACTGCACAGGGGTATGTAGGGAAGGGGGGGTTTACTCACCATCGATGAAATGCTCGACACCTTCGCGGCCGTAATTTAGAGCGTAGAGGAAATGTCTCCCCATGCCCACCGCAGTAGCACCCAAGCACAAGCACTTCAAAATATCCGTGCCACGCCTGATGCCGCTGTCGACGTACACCTCCAGCTTCTCAAACACCTCCGGGGCGCACTTCTGCAGCTCCAGCAGAATCAGGATGGAAGGCGGGGCGGTGTCGAGGCTCCTGCCGCCGTGGTTGCTCAGGATGATGCCCTGGACGCCGGCCTGGGCGGCGAGGCGCGCGTCGGCGGCGCCCTGGACGCCCTTGAGCACGATGGGCAGGTCGGTGACGCTGCGCAGCCAGCGCAGGTCGTCCCACGTGAGGCTGGCGTCGATGTACGAGCCCATGATGCGGCCGAGGCCGCCGCCCTTCTTGTCGTTGACCGCGCGGGCCCCCGTCATGGGCGCCGACAGCGCCTCGTCCGCGCGCACCCGCTCGTCCGCCTCGCGCTTGCCCGGGACCGGCGCGTCCACCGTCACGAAGATGGCCTTGATGCCCTTTGGCAGCGACGCCAGCATCCGCTCCGACGCCTGCCGGTCCCGGTTGACGTACAGTTGGAAGAAGAAGGGGTGATTGGCTGGCGCGTTTGGGAGGATGTCGGTCACCGGATACGACGCGTTGGTTGAGATCTGTGGGGGATTGTCAGCCTTCGGGTATTGCCTCTATCGCCGACATCCTGTCCCGACGCCCATTCGCCCCTCAATTGCAGGTGCAAGTTCGTGACAGAATGGACCGAACGTGGGGTTCCCCCTCTTCCCCCCCGTGGGGTTCCTCCTTCCTTCTGTGGGGTTCCCCCTCCCCTCCGCGTGGGGGTGAGACTTGCCGTTTGTGCGACGCCCTTGTTTCCACATGCCGCCGCAATTGCCTTCTCTCCCTCCGGGTGCACCAGCCGCGCCATGGCCGCTGGAGATACGAACAGCGGCAGCTGCACTTCGTTCCCGAGAATGCGCGAGCGCGTGTCGACTCCCGACACATCCCTCAATACGCGCGGTCGCCACCATATCCGATCAAAGCTGCTCTTGTTCGCATCGCGTGTGATCTCGTCCGTGGCTGCTGAGGAGTAGAATGCCCATGTTTTCTGGGAAAGGGTCCGCGATGCCACCGACTCAAAGTCGTATGAGTTTATCAGCGAGTCCAGCGGCGGTTTCTCGTGCGCCTGCAGCTCCGTTGTCGCGGTCGGTGGCGGCTTCACGAATCCCTGCTTGGCATTTGGTGGATGCGAGGGCTTGGTGTTCAACTGCTCCTCCAAGTCTTCGATGCGATACGGTAATTGCTTAGGGTCGGCCATTGTGAGAGAGTGTGGTGAGTGACGTCGAAGGGTAGTATGGAGGGAAATTGAAGAGACTGCCAAAGTTTCACTGGGACTGGATGGTTAAGAAGCAGGCTGTCATAGCTCCCTCAAGCTCCAATTGACGGAAAATTGATCCCGGCATGACAGCAACACCACGAAGCTCAAGCCTGGTGCATCGTCAGGCCGGTCGGGGAATGGTAGATCACGGAGCGATGGAGGCGGGTGACGTCGGCAACCGGCATGTAATCGCTCGAATTGCGGGGAGACATTCGGCTCCATCGGCGAGTTGACCGGCCGATGGACCCGATGTCGGGGTCGGGATTATATTCCCCATGTGGAGCTGAGCGCTCGGACTGACCTGCCTTGCCTCGTGAGCTCTCAACATCGACTCATAAACGTCGGGATTCCAGCCTTCTCTGTAATAGAGCTGGGCCTGGAACGTCCTGGCTTGCTGAGAATTCTTCCACAAAACAAAACCGCTCGTCCGTGTCGTCAATGCGTTGGTATTTATTCAATCCTTTCGTGATGTGCACAAGCTCTCGCTTGCTATTATGTTGAACTTTTATCTTCTGTACAGCCAGCATCTGTTTCCAAATCATGGGCATGTTGAAGCCTTAATCCTTCCATCGTGTTTGTCATCATCACTTTGCGGTCGGCTCAGCTGGCGCATACGTCTTACGACCGTCTTTCACGTTCGGCTTCACGTTCGGCTTCCACCGCCCTCGCCTCTCTTTCCAGTTCCTCTCTGCGCTTGATTGCATCCTCCCCAGCTCCTTTGACGCCCTTCTTCCGCTGCCGTTCTTCGTACATGGCTCTGCTCGCCATGATGCGTTCAACGATTTCACCAGCGTTGACGTGCTGGAAGTCATGCGCAGGCACCTCTTGGAATATTCCGAGCTCCTTGGCGTCCTTGTAGGGGTCTTCAACAGACGACATGAACGAGGTAGGGCCATGGTAAACGACATTGGGCGTTCCATATGGAAGCGAATTCAGGAACGCCGGGGTGGGCGTGAATGGAGCAGAGAAGACCACAGCGTTGATGTACTGTTACGCAGATTTATCAGCAGATCGTCAAACCAGGCATACGGATCATGGCCTACCTTGCATTGCAGGACGCATAAGCCGCGCTCGAATACGTTCATGATCGGGTAGTTGATGCCCTTCCAGTGGTTGATGACCTCATCATCATGGATACCAGCGACCACATAGTACGGGCTGTAGTCGGACCCGGTCTCGGCAATGCGCTGCTGAACGGCCTCGGCGGAATACCAGTCGCGCTTCTTGCCTTCCTCTTCCTCAAGCATGGCCACCTGTCGCAGAAACTCGATATGACCGGAAGAGAACAGGTCAAAGCCGCCATCAACGTAGACCACGCGCTGGCCCTTGCGAGGGGCAGTTCCCGGGACCATCTTGGAGCATTTCCCAGTTCCACCCGCCGCACTCGGCTCCGCGGCTTTGTCTTGCTCACCATGCCACACCCAGACTTCACTGCCTGGCGCCAGACCAGTCTCGTCTGAGGCGTAGACCTTGATTCTTTCCTTCAACTCTGCACCGGTTCTCTTTCTCTCCTCCTCGCTGCCGCTGCCCTCTTCGCCCGTCAGGACATTCTCCAGATTCTTGATGAAGTGTCCCTTGGTGCACAGAAGCATGCGCCCAACCAGATCGGTCGTTGAGATACCGGGTGTGCGCTTCACGATCTTGAAACGACCAGCAGCCTTGACGAATCGATAGCAGTCTTCACCCGAGGCGTCCGACGTGATGTCGTCGCCGTGAACGACATATTTGCAGCCGTAATGGGAAATCCAGGGCAGCGAGGTCACGTACGGGGCGTGGGGGATCGATTTGGTGGCCCAGCGGCAGGCATCAACGGCAGCAACGCTGAAGGCGGCATCAGCAGAGGCGATCGGAGGAGGCGAAAGTGGACTGACCGTTCTTTCAGCGTCATTACCGTCGGCCCCTTATTCTCGAGGATAGCTTCGTCCGAGTGGACGCCGACGAGCAGGTCGGAGCCCAGCTGGCGGGCCTGCAAGATGGCGCCGGCATGGCCTGCGGGGATTGGCCATTACTGGGGGCGCGCAAAACAGCAGGAACGGGGAGGCGCACCGTGGTGGGCAAAGTCGAAGCAGCCATCGATCCAAATGCGGTCTTCAGCTATGGGCACGTCGTCCTGCGGGTCGACGGGCCATTGGCCGGGGGCGGGCACGTATTCGGCGGATTCGGCCTGGGGCGAGGTCAGCGCGGGACGACAGTGACTTGGGCATCGTGGCGCACACTCATGGCGGTGTTGGAGGCGGTGTTGGTGGGCGTGCAGAGAAGCTGGGCTGGGCGGGTGCATGGCGCGAGGGGCAAGGCGGGGCGCTCTCGCGGCTCAGGGACCAGGGTCACGGTCGGAATCCAGGGACAAGCGCGCCACCGGCATTCAGCTTGCCTTTTGACGCGCGCCCGTTGCGACTCGACGGACGCCACGCATGACTCGGCGGGCGCGGGCCCCCGTGCTGCCGGACGTGCTTTCAATGCCTCGACGATCAATTCGTGCGCGCTCAGCAGCGCAATTTCGTGCCCATCGTTCATCAGTGGAGGCGCTCGCTGCTAGACATGTCCCTTTGCGACTCTGACTCCGCTCTCGCCTGCCCTGGACGCCGCGCTTCCAGTGACGGACAACGATTCGCGGCTCGCAGCGCGACTGTCGGCGCCTCACGATTGGGCTTAGGCGCTCCTCACTACAGCCTTTGCCGTCCCTGACCGGCCCCTGGGCCTGGGTATCATGGTCTCCTCCTCCACCGCGCCCACCTCCACTTCGGGCGCAACATCGCACTCGTTCCTGCCGCGCAAGCCCTCGCTTTTCCGCCGCGACAGATCGCGCAACAAGGACGCCAGCGGCGCCGACCTGCCTCCCCGCAGCAGCACGCCCCAGCCCAGATCCGTGACGCCCGTCCCGCCCATCGACGAGTCAGACGCCGTTTCGAGCACCTCGCCGCCGCATCGCGGGAAGCATTCCTCGCGGCACAGCTTCGCCTCGTCCGTCGCAGACTTCGGCTCCAACCTGCGCCGCTCTGCCTCCCTGCGCTCCTCGTCCTCCAATTCCGCCAAGGAGCAGCCGCTGCCGTCGTCGTCCCTGGCCCAGGCCACCCTCTCTCCCGAAAAGCCCACCTTTGCTGCCAATGCCTCGTCGAACAAGCTCCTCGCCACTTTCACGCGCGGTCGCCAGAAATCCTACGACGCCAGTGCCGCTGCAGCAGTAGGCAAGCCGCCTGACGAGCCCAGAACACCCGGAATGGCCAACACCGTTGGCGCTGCCCACATGTGGGCCTCACGCCCGTCGGGCACCGCGCACTCGAACCTGGCCTTTGGCCAGGTCAGCAACCCGCTGGCCGCTCCCGCCAACATCCCTCCCGTCCCATCTGCTGCCGGCGGCCACAACCCCCATGCAGTCTTCCAGCACATCCACGACATGTCGTCAAAACGCATATCCACTCTGGACTACCTCCGGAAAGCGTGAGTCTCGGCTGCACCTCGACGCTCGGGCGACGTACACTGACAAACTGTAACCAGGCACGACGGCAGGGTATACTGGTTCAACACGCTCCTGTTCAACAAAACCGACCTCAACAAGCTCCCTTACTTCTCACAAAAGACGCTGTCCAAGCGAGCGACCAATTACCTGCTCCTCGGTTTCTCGCTGCCCACCATCCTGGATCTAAACTCCAACAGCGCTGCCGACTACCTCCGCGCCCTGAACGCGTTGCTCATCGAGTTTGAGACATACCAGTCGATCCACCCGCCCGACGGCAGCATGCCGAGCAGCCTGGGCCGCGGTCGCGTGGCAGGCATGTTCAAGCGGGCGACGCACGCCGCGTCGGGCGCCGCAAAGGGCCGGCGGCAGAGCTCCGCCACGGAAATCGGGCTGATGGAGGTCAGCGACGCCAGCTCCGCGCCCATGCTGCCCAGCGGCGAGCACAGCGACCACCTGCTCCCCGGCGAGGAATACACGCACCTGATGACGCCGCACCTGCCCTTCGAGCCGGACTTCTTCGAGACCTTCTCGACGCTGTGCGACGTCCTGATCGACTGCTACACCAAGATCATGGGCTTGGTCAATGGGCCCGAGACGTGTGGGCCCGGTGTGGGGGAGCTGTTCGCGAAGGCGGATGCGCGTGTGCGGAAGATCATCGTGGCCGGGGTGGTCCGGGAGTTTGAGGACGCAAGTCGCTCCGGCGTGAAACAGGAGGTTGCCGGTGTCGGCAAGGTCGTTCTTGGTGGGCTGATGTGAGTGGGAGCAGAGCGTGTATACCCCGGGTTGCAAAGTTACCCAATTTCCTATTCGCAGAGTGGGGAGGGCGTTTTTCGTTTTTTGTGGCTCGAGAAAGTGGAGGACAACAACAACAACATCATCAACAACAACACGGGATGGGGTTGGCCGCATCAGCAGACATGACCGCATGAACAGGGCACATCATTTGGATGCATCTAACGCCTTTTTCTTTTGGATACTTCGGATACAAGGAGAGGAGGTTGAAAAGCACATGATACCTTCCGCTGCGGATGTGCAGACGGAAAATCGGAGGAGATTGGGTCGATGGGTTTCGGTTGTGTTTTGTGCGTGTTTTACTTGCATCATATACCACTGTCTGTTTTTGCTTCGTGGATTTCCGGCATCAGGAGGATGAGATGCAAACAGTGCATAAGTCCACACTAGGGCAGAGCTGCTGGCATTCCCAAGAGAAGCTCAAGCGGGGTCGAATTATAGGGTGGACAGGTGGGACAAACGGGCGTGGCATACGTAATAGTAATAACATCAAGCTTTGACGTTCGCAGGGATAATACTTGGGTCTACCCTTGTGTCTGGGGGCTTCTATGAGCAAAGACAGCCGCAGGGAAGCCACATGACTGTGTAGTGACAGATAACTTGCGCCCACTTGCGTAGGTAGTGGAGGCAAATACCTGGACGTTGACTCGAATTTTCTGAGCCTTGCTATAGGTAGTTGAAGCTAGTGTCTGGACGTAGACGTGAGTTTTGAGATTGTACATGTACATCCAGACCTAGTGAGACATGCCCTGGTAACTCCGTGTGCGGGACCGTAGCGCGAGCAAGGGCCGATCCGGAGTTGCCGGCTACGAGCGGTGGGCTGGTCAGCCGGGGATCGCGCGTACAAAGTATGGTGACGACATATAGCTTAACGCCCGCGTCCTCTATTCCGGTCTTCCCCCCAAAATTTCTCCACACCCTTCTTCCACACCACACTAGCTGCGACGACGACCGGGCAACAAGCCATGGCAATCATACAGAATTGGCTCCCGCCTTCACGCGAGAATTGGGAGCTCATAAGCTCCGTGTGGCAGCTCTTTCCTCTGGTTCGTACCGCATAACCCGCAACTTCATGCATGCATTTCTTCTCCACGCAGTCCCGCGACATTCCGAAATACAACGCGCACCCTTCATTCTCCACCACATTCCGCCCGCGCATTCCAATCATGCGCCACGCCTTGCTTTCCTCTATCACGCACCCTCGACAAAGCAAGACAAAAAAAAGAGTCAAAAAGCACTCCCGCTGACGTGATACCCCTCACAGTTCGCCGCGGTCCAATGGTTCGTCGACTGGTACCCGCAGGGCAAGACATCAACGGACTCGCGCTGGAACCTGCCAGGCAAGTGGGCATGGTTCGCGATGGAGATCCCCGGCACCATCACGCTGCTGTACATCATGTACAGCCTGCCCAAAGAGCTAGGCCTGGCCGAGCCGCTGCCCTGGGGCAACTGGGCGATGGCAGGGATGTTCGTACGTCTCACCCGTTCTATTCCCCCCCCC